GTGAGAGCGAAAATCCATTTGGATTTTCAATAAGAGAGAATCGAGGAACTCATCTTATCTGGTCGTAAATAAGACTAGAAGAAGACTAAATCGAAATGGAAAAGACTTTGCACCATAAATGGACCTTGGTGACCATTTTACCTGAGCGTATTTTTAAGACTATAGCTTAATGTTTCATGCACGAAGGTAAATAAATCCTGTCGGGAAGACAGGGTGAAGAGCACGCAAAATTTTGAGTGTTCCCCAGATGACTATAATGCACGCCGTCCGCGTGTACTTCTTTACGATTACATGATTAATTCACAGATTCATGCCGGGCGAGGGCACGACGTCTCACGTCTGCAACCAATTCTTAAACTTTATAAAAGATCGCCGAGAACAAAGCGACGATTCACAGCGCGGGCGTGCGATGAGATAAAATCGCAGCTCATAAACAGCGCGAAAGTTTCCGGCGAGGAAGAAAATAGTTCCGGCAAGTTTTGAGTTCATCTTTCGCCATTGCAATTATTCCATTATCCTCATTATTTACTCTCCGGGGAAGTTGACTTTGGCGTATTTTGCACCATCCGGCTGTACACAGCAAAAATTGCCAAATGTTTGTTCAACCGGCGAGTGGATAAAACGCGAGTATAAAAAAGATCTCAAATTAAAAAAGCGCGGCATAATAAAGCGAAGAGAGACCTGAAATGTCAGTCGTTGAACTACTCGTCCTGCTGGCCTGGGTGTGCTCGACTTCACGACTTTTTTGCATCCAATCCTGACCTTAACCCAACACCGACGCAACCCGGCGCATGCACACACGTCGAACTAACAAACACGAGGGCCACTCCACAAGCAGAGTCCAGAAAACGAATAAAAGTGTTTTTGTGCTCTCCGGCCAAAGTAGAATAGCCGCGGAGCATCCACGGAACAACTCTTGCAAAGAAGCGCTTTTTATCCTCCGAAGTGTAATTTCCTCTTCTACTCTTCTACCTTCACACAATGTACTGAAAATGACTATTCACGAAGCCGAATGGCGAAATGGGTGAAACTAATTTCGTGCATGTACACAAAAAACGGCAAAAAATTAACCACTCTATGAGAAGTTGCGAAGAATGAAACCAGATAAGAGGACAATAAAAAATTAACGGGAAATGACCGTCCGAGTACTACATCTCTATAAATTTTCACTTCCCAACACATCCGAAAAAGAAGAAATTCCCAGCGAGAAAGATTGAAGACATTCATTCGCCATGCATCTGTTTGGCATTCGGTTTAAACGACATCGCCGGCCCCGACAGAATGCGGATGCCTTGGAATGCGTGGAATTCGTCATTCGGCTTGCGTTCCCGTGCGATCCGTACAACTTGTACGTCGTGTACGCACGCGTTTATTAATGTCGGAAGAATGCGAATTGTACGCCGAATGAACGCACGCAGTTCAAAAGCGACTCGCCGACCACACGACACGCAAACAAACACGAGAACAACGCCGGCGTGCCGACCTGCCCTCATTGTGCCGCCTCTGGTTGTTGTGACTGATGCGTTACGTATACGTTCAACCGCGTGCAGTGCGTGTCACACTCGAAAACCGCCCACTTTCGTTTTCTGGCTTTTCCGCTTTCCGCCACACACCGAAAAAAAAAGACCAACCGGTGTGTAACCGGTACGATTTTCTCTTTTTTGCACTCGCGTAGAAGGCAAGCGTGCATAAAAACCGACGAATTTTCTTGTTTCCCGACGATTTTTCTTCGACATCTCGTGGCTCACCGCAGCACCGTCGAACTGCGCGCGGCGGCGATAGTGAATTGCGCTGGTGCGCTCTCGCGGTCGACGAATATTTATCGCAGGGAGCGATGTAAAGCGACTGCGAAAAATTGCTTGACAAGTCCTATCACCCCTTGCTTAGTTCCGACACGCGGGCTTGACTTATTTCCCAGCCTCGGTCGTTTCGCTTTTTCAACGTTTATTTGCAAGCCGTTGGTAAATAGTGAAAACATTTCACGTTGCTTAAGCATCACAAAACATTTCAATAGATATTTTTTAAATATTACACAACTCGCGTTGAATTAATATAATAAATCTTCCGAAGATGAAATATGAATCATTATAAACTTGTTAACATTTATCAATGACACGTATGCATCGAGAATTCTCACACATAATTAATTTGAATATTCAAAAGTGTTACTTAACCTTTCTTTCGATGAGCACAGCGCAAACAGCATGGATGCACAAATCAAAATCAATTTATTTTTCGCTGAGATGAACATTTAATTTGCATGTATTAGCATATAACGCACGTAACTAATGTCGCTTCGAAATCCAATTCAATTTATATAAATTTATATGCAAACTGCGCAGCATGCTGAAAAACAATTTCATACAATTTCAAACAACTCCGCCCACTGACACAGCGCGGCGACTCGTAAATTTATTACTCATAACTAGAAATTAACTCTAATTATTTTTCAAGTGTATTCTAGCATTACTCCGGGCGTAACAAAACGGATGATTAAGTACCATGAAATTTATTGCGTGTGTGTATTGCACGTTAAATCCACTCTAGAAGAGGATTGACGATATGTCATTGCATGTATCGGCGGGCGTACGATGCGCAATTTGCAAGCGCGGTTAGTTAATTAATTACGAACGCAAATTATGTTCGGTTCGACATCGAATGTTTGGAATGCCACTTGGTCCTCCGTCCGAATTGCCCGGCGACATTTTACTCTTGCTCATATTGAAACTTTTACGCCGTCGACGAAATTCCGCGCAGGCATCTCGCGTTTGTCGTGCGCTATGCCGACTATTAATTAATGACGATAATTAATAACGGCGCGCACTTGCCGGTATTTATTTATACGCGCGTCGAGCGTCATGTTTATTTCGAATGCATTCGCCGGTTTGGCGGCGAAGCCGTGGTTTGCGACTACTAATTAATTCGTTTTTGCGCATTAAACAAACTTAGTTGTACCTAGTCCCGGAACGCGCGCGCCCACCGCTAACTGCCATTGCAATGGCAGCCGATTGTTGTTCCCAAATTAAATATTTATTATTCCGCATTTTCCTATTTGCGCTATTTACGCGATGCGGCTATTTATTGTTTGTTTATGATTTATCTATAGTACATGCAGCGATATTTGCTTTTCATTCGGAATTTAACAACATGCATTTTTAATCGTTTTATGTTTTCATTTATGCACGAAAAAAAATCATATTTATTTTTAAATTATTAAACCCGTCAAACATGATTAATTATTTATTATTAAAATATAAAATATTAATAGGTAGTGAGCGTAAAATGTTTGATTACTTTTACAGCATCATAGAATGTGAAAGTTTTATGACATTCATAACAAAAAAAATAAATAATTTCACATTTTGCCGGAGATTTTCTATGGTCAAGTTTAAAGAGTTAACTACTGCGTAATTCATTATTTGTTCCGAAACAAATGAAATCTTTTTATGCCTATTTGCATTATTCGTTTACATTTATATAATAAACTTATGACATAGAGCTTTTACGCGAAATATGCAGAAATAAAATCTTAAACGAAACATCCAAGAATCTTATTACACAAATTTGAATGCATCTACATAAAATCCACAGCTGGAGCGCGCGAAACGCTGGCAACTCTCGAGTCGTCGTGAATTTTCCGCGTGTAGTGCATGTTGCAACTCATCCTGCTTTATTTCTACTGCAAAAATACGCTTACCTACATCAGTGCCAGTGCAAGAAACTTGCACAACTCCGGGAAAGACAATCTTGGGAGAGTTGCAATGTGTGTTTATGATACAATGAAAAGTGTGTCCCGGCAAGAGGACCACATGTGCATTTCCATCTTGAACCATCTTGACTCGAGCTATATTTATTTATTCGCGCGCCTCGCGCTCCTTTCATTACATTTTTCTCGACTGACTCTCTCTGCGGACAGACTTTTTCTGCATCCCCAAGGAGCGACAGACGAAGACGCGTACAAGTTGTACAAGTATAGCAAAGTGTGGGAGTACATTGCAACTAGTTATGTGTGTATACAGAGTGCGGGATCGACGTAGGAAAAGACGGAAAAAGAAGAGGATGGTCGGTGATATGCAAAGCGACTCTTCGTACACTTTGCGTAAGAGGCGAGGCGGCGAATTCGTTTTCGCATAATGGAAATTGCATACAATATCCGTCTAACACTACCCAAGCTTTGCTTCTTCGTTCTTTACCGTGGTTCTTCCCTATTTCCTTTCAGGTTTTTCTTACTTTTCTAGTCGCGTATCATTCTGACATCACCTTGACGATTCGCCTGCTCTCTCTTACATATTTTATTCGAGTCAACCCCTGTCTGAAGTTAAATTCGCACTTTTTAGAAAACGGCCAGTTTGGCGTGTAAAAGGGAAAGAAGACGGAATGAAAATGTGCAAGATTTGCGTGTGGCAGATGCACGTTTTAACCACTGACTACAGGTGGGACGTGGAAGTGGGCACGATGGGCGCATTCGCGGCGTTTACCACTTTTACATCTGTCTGTGCACAAGAGTAAAGTAGGATAAAACCTCTGGGAGACATGCAAACCGAGTAAATCCGGGAATTTTTAAGTGAACTGACAAAACGGAGTGACAAGTAAGAGGGATCATGCGTCTTGTCTTCAAGCCGCCAGGAGCATCTCCAGTTTTATACTACCAGGAAATAAAAATCTGTTTGCACAGGTATTCGTGATTCATGGCGCACTTTAAGACCGATTTAATGATGGGTATAAAATTCGCTCCATCGTCTCCGCGCCGTGTTATGAAATATAAGCTTGAACATAACCCTGTTTCGCAGCCATTCAAGAACGTAAAAATAATGACGTGTCATTTGTTTCTTAGCGCATGCAAAATCAAAAGTCCGTAGCAATTTGGCTTCGTTTACACATGCAGATTACTTTTATCGATTCACGCCGCGTGTATACACGAAGCTAAATAGACGGTAGAGGGTTTGAGGGGTGCTGCTGCCACAATCGGATTGATTGCTTCGGCACCAGCGTGTGTTTACCTTCGAGCTCGACGACTTTTCCCGCCCGCTTGAGCGCTTTCACCGCCTCGTCGTGTGTCGCCTCGCGCAGATCCTCGCCGTTCACCGACAGGATCGCATCGCCGACGTACAGCTCCTCCGTTTGATCCGCCGCCATCCCCTTGAAGATCTTGCTAATGAGAATCGGCATCTTATTCTCCTTGCCTCCCTTGATAGAGATACCAAGGCCGTTGTTATCGGACTTGACGACGCGCACACTACGTTTCTGGTTGGCGACCGAGTCGGGTACATCGGGGGTGTCGCTGAGCCCGCTCGGCGTTTCGATGTTATTGTTGAGCGTGCCATTCAGCGTGGTGGTGTTCTCGTAGGATTCATCTAGGGTGATGCTGAGATAGTCGTCCTCGAGCGTGACAAACACGCGATACCATTGGCCGCGAACGTGCGTCTCGAGCACGCCGGAGCGGCCGTAGTTGTAACTGCCGGGGGAAGTCACCCCTTCGACCATTCTGTCGTTGGCACCGCTCATCGCGTCATTCACATTTTCCCCGTCACGCTGTGGAAAATCGCGACTGCACCCCGCGGCGCATCGTATCGCACGTTTTTAATCCACGCGGTGTACTGTGCGAATGTAAATATTTTACTGATATTACAATGCGAACTTCACCCACTTGTGTTATTTCACTCTGAGTTCGCGCGATAGGCAGACAAGACGGCGACGGACGACTTTAGCTTGTCTTTAACTATGCGGCTCGCAGCACGACGCGATCGGCGAGACTTTCACTCCGGCACTCCGGCGAGCGTGCGGTGCGGCGGCGACGACGGCGGAGTGGCGAGTCGATCGTGCGCTCCACGGTCCTCGGTCAAGCCGGTACGGTGCGGGCGCGCAAGCATACACGCCGTAGTAGTAAGCAGCCGCCGATAAAATGGGTTGGAGGAGTGTGCAGCACGGAGCGGCAGTGCTTCGGCGCGCAGAATACCCTCACGTTGCTATGGATACAAGCGCGCGCCGCGGCCCCTCATCTCCCGACACCTTTTGTTTTCGTGCCTTCCGCAGACGGGCCGCTGAGGGCCGCGAGTAGCGATGCCGGTTACGGCATGTGTAGCAAAGCCAAAGGCCACGCGAACGATGCAAACGCAATGGCAAGGTCATCTACGAGCAGGTAGTCGCAATCGTTGTTGCGTAACGTTAACAAAGGGAATTATAGACTCGCTTCGAACCCTCGGATGCCGCGGATCAACTTCGATCAGCTACCTGGTGAAGCTCCCTTGCCGTGAAGTGAATTAAACCGTGGTAAATCAGGATTGAAGACGACTTACGTCGCTCAATAGATTATAACTTCGTGGAATTTGGTTGTTTCTTCGGAATTTACTGACATTTCTAGTCGGCTTTCCAGTAATGACACGGAATCTTCGAATCCTTGATGCATGTACGCAGTGTGTGTACAGTACGTGTATACGCGATGCGCCGCAAACACCTTATAGTCCTTACGTGTTCCTTACGTGCAAGAAACACATTTCTCATTTAAATTTCATGCCACAATCTTGATTGGAACAGATGCTACCTCATAAATATTCAATTTCGCCGCCGCCGTAAAGAGCACTTTTTCCACGTCGTACCGCATCGGAAGCAAATCGCGCCAACAAACGCACGTTTCACCTATATTCGATGAAAATTGTTTCACGTGAATTATTGTGGAGCAAATCCGACCACAATACTATTTGAATCAATAACGTTTAGTGTATTATAAGTTCCAGCAACTTAAACAAAACTGATTGCTTGAATTTATCTTTTAAATATTTATGTTGACTATAGGCAACCAAGTATACTCATTTTACATTTACGAATTTGTGTATTATCTAAATTATTTAAGTTTTATTGCGTGAAACATTTACGTACAAGTTCTTAAAATTTACTATAAAAATACGTATAACTTAAGAGTAGCCAACGGTAACAATAAGGAACTGAGTTCTAGATTTAAAATATAGTGAACATTTAAAAGTTGAGAATGTAGCAACTCTTTCACAATAGCATGTCAGTTAATGTGAACTATTCTGATTATCTGTATGTTCCTGAATATAAGGCATAAGTTTGGAAACAAATTCTTTCAGCACGGTGTTCTTCATTTTGCCGACATCCATGACCTCCTCGTGATTAGCCTCATCTTTGCTGTCGTAGCAAGTAACGCATTCATTGGTGATCAAACTGAAAGCCAACACATGCATATCACAATGTCTGGCGGTGATGACTTCGTGCACGGTAGACATGCCTACGGCATCAACGCCCAACATCTTCAACATGCGCAGCTCAGCAACAGTCTCAAAATTAGGTCCGCCTAAACAAGTGTAGATACCTTCATGGACAGTATCACTCAAACCCATTGATTCGAAGATCTCCTTAGATTTACGGATCAGATCCCTGTCATATGCTTTGTTCATAGGTGGGAATCTAGGACCAAAACGCTCATCGTTGGGTCCCATAAGTGGGTTATTACCAGCGAAGCCCATCATGTTAATATGGTCTTTGACAAACATAATATCTCCTACTTTGTAGGATGGGTTAAGTCCTCCAGCGGCGTTGGTTGCAATGAGATGGGTTACGCCGACAAGTTTCATTACACGTACGGGCATAGCGCATTTCCACAACGGGTAACCTTCGTAATAATGGAATCTGCCTTGCATACACAGGACTTCGATACCGTTGAGTTTCCCGAAGACCAATTGACCCATGTGACCCTCTACGGTACTCACGGGGAAGTAGGGGATGTCTTCGTATTTGAAGACCATGCGATCAGTCAGAGCATCAGCCAACTCACCTAAAATTCAAAAACAACGTGATTCATTACCTTTATTTAAAATTGTGGAGATTAAGTTAAGATTAAGTTGAATCATATTTATTTATTGGTTTAATCTAACAAGATTAATAGTTAAAAGTAAATAAATAACGTAAGGTTATCAGGACGAATGCAGGTGACATATACCTAAGTAAACCATAAAGCTTGTTGTTTTAACAAATAAAAAATGGTTGATAAGTATCAAAATACGTCATATGTGAGTAATAGATACACTTATTATAAAGCCATTCGTTTGAAATTAACTTTTTTTGCTTGTAACAAAGAATAAACATGTATCCTTAACATGATCACAATTAGTAAGTTTGGATTAAAAACAAATTATCGCTGAGATTATTATTCGTTCAAGTGTTTGTAGATCTGTAAATCACGGACGATGATGTTTCGAAAAAAGGGGCCCGATTACACGTTACGCAAACGCTCACGACGTCACAACTATCATCAGTCAATTAATGATGGGAATTGGTTTCGTTTGTTGATTACGCTCTGTTTTCAGGCCGTTATTGAAATCTCTGCGTCGCTATGCCGTTCTGAACATAATTTAATTTAAGTTCATGGCTATTTAGATTATATCACTGGACGTCTCGTGCGAAATAATCGACGTTTATCGAAGATTCATCTTGAAATAGGAATTCAGTGATTTTCCTATGCGCTTGACGCAAGGAGAATAAATTATAACATCGCTATTTTAATAAATACTTTGTTGTTTTGATAATATAGTTTATACAGCAACTTAAAAATGATTGCGTTATAGTTTCAGTTATTAATTAATTATTTCTGAAGTCAATTTCATGTTAAAATTTATTTATTTAACATTTATAACAGTAAAATTCAAAAATAAAATTTCACGGTTTAAAATAAGTTAAAACTAATTCTTTTCATATAATTTTTTTGTCTAGGATGTGTGCCTAGACTATATTAATTTTGCGTTTACGTTAAACCCATGCTTTCGATAAAGAATGAGTACTTATAGCGCTCGAATTGAAGTCAACATGATAAGCATGAGCAATGCGCTCATTAACAATCCTTTTATTTTCTTAAACAAATATTATTAGTGTGTTATGAGCGGCACTGGGTAAATTGATAACACTCATCACGTTTTTTTAAATAATTGAACTCTCTGAAAATACACCAGTTCTCCGAAAATATTGTCTGTCTCTATTTGTAGTCACGCCGCAAAAGATGCACCAAAATAAGATAATAAAGCAATTAAAAATTAATAATTATTCAAGTCGTAAATCAGTCGTAAAATATTTGCTTACATTGAAGAAACGAAGTGAATATTGATATGAAACGTCATTATTAATTAAACAAAATATGCACTCATAAAAAATTAATCACATTCAGGCGATTGTACGTTAATTAAAGTAATTGATCTAATCGATTTTAGACACATTCAAAATTTTCCACTTTAAAGGCTTAAATTAAGTACGTACTCAACTTTTTTGATTTCAATTGTACAGTAGAGTCCGGTTATAATGACATCGAAGGGAATTGACAAACACGTCATAATAAGCGGACGTCATACAAAGCATTTTGTGAAATGAAAACCCTTTTTTGTGTAAATATGTATATATACATACATATTAAATCAAAATCAAAATTGCACGTAATCAGCACATTATAACACATTCAAGTGTATTTTTTACTGCAAGTAATCTGTAATTTTTGTCTGCTTTTGTTTTTTCATTTAATTAATTTTCTTGTGATTTTCGAAACCTCTTCGGTTTCAAAACATTTGAATTGAACGATTGCTTAATGCGGTTCTTGTTTTTTAAAAAGCATTGAGATTGTCGAATGACCCACGCCAAATTCGGATTAATGGAAAATACGGAAGTCGTGGTCAAGGTGCTGCTGCCCGAATGCTTATATTTATTATTTAAGCATTTGGTCTTTCCGATAGTAAATACATAAAAGTAATTTGACAATCATAAAAGAAATGTAGCAATAAATATAAAAGTTCGCCACGTGTCGAACGTCGTCGGGTATCAACGAACATTACCGGAGGTGTAAAGAATCATGTTGGTCATTATAACCGGACATAATCTGTTAAAATGGGTCATAATAAGCGACATGTCACTGTAAGCGAAGTCATTATATCCGATTTTTTATACAGAATTTTATATGAAAACCAAACTTGGTAGTGTAGGTACGTCATAATAACCGGTTGGTCAATATAAGCGGAGTCATAATAAACGGATTCTACTGTATGTTAAAATGTTTTTTGTATTGTTTTTTGATTACTTACCCATTCCTGAGCCACAAATGATGCCAATCTTTGGTCGCTGCTTGACGCGATCCAAGAAAAACTGCGCTGTTTCGAGAAGATGTTCATAGGTGTATCTAAAAACAGGAAAAAGATTATAACACTGACGTAATAAAAATTCATGTGCACTCATAATTAAAGTCAATAGCCAATCATGGATAAAATATTTAAGCCAATTCACAGTACGTAATTAAAAAAAAGTAGATAACAAAAACAACGCGACAACAAGAATGAATACGCTATTAAATCGACCTTCACTGTGATTACTTTCGTTTGTTCGTTGACGGCTTTAGCGCAATGATATGATTATGTAAACATTAACAAGCGCATAACTTTTTATAGATCGACGTATCAACAAAATGTGTACAATGTGAACAATGTGTACTTGAAAAATGAAGGATGTTCACACCGAGTAACAACAGTTACAAAAAATGCATTAAAATTTCAAATCAAAAATAATCGCAATAAATTTTTAAGCATTAAATAAAATACTGTACATTGTTAACGGTTAAATTTAACATTCCACTAAAAAAATATACCGGAAGAAGGAACAAAATGTGTTAAATGTCAAAATTTCTAGTTTTGCGTACTAGACAAATTCGACTTGATTTATTCGGTTGTTTTTGACATTTATTAAGCAATGTTTGCGTATGCAGTTTTTATTTATTCACGAATATTACCCGTTTATGAACGTTTATTAAAATTCCTACTGTAATCAAGTTCTATGACATGTTTCTATGCATATATCTAAGACGATAAATTAATAACACAACAATAATAAGATTAATTATCCACAAACAGATTTATTGCGTCATTCATCAACATCCAACTCGAATCAATCTTTATCTACACTTGTATGTCAGAGAATTGTGTTATGATTCGGTGTCGCAACATGTTTTTGAATGAAACTTCTTTCTGATGTCAGAATTTTTCGAACCAATTACGAATTGTATTTTTTTATCGCCGATTCACGATCTGGATGTTGATCGGATTGTAATAACGATGCGCATAACTATGAAAAAAAATTCTTGTGGATGGTGATGGCACCATTTATCAATGTTGACATGTATCGAATGGAGGCGTAGAAATACAAAAACAGCTGAGAGAGTGGTCGTATGAGCTCGATGGGGCCATGATACCGCGGGACCTTTTCGACCTGCTTCTCCACTTGGGGTACGTACACAATCAACAGCGCGGCAACACACATCAGAGACAAGATTTTTTCAAGGCTTCTTATTGATATTAGATTAGAAAATGTTTTAAATTAATGCGTGCTAATCACCGGCTCGAGTTTAAACTATTATTGCATGTTGTTGATGATATGATTAGGAAATTATTCCGAAAACTAATGAATAAGAATTACATCATTTTATAATCGATCAATATAGGCAGATATTGTATTAAAATTGATCTCTAATCTAATCAACGCAATAGATATACATTTTTGAGCATATTTGTGAAAATTTTATTAATTTATTGCTGTTATAAAATTTCTACTGCGATTATAGTGATAATTTTGTGAATAACTTACTCGGTTTCCATTTCTTTTGATAACATGATGAAATTATAATCAAATGTAACTTAAGCAACTGAAATTAAATACTAAATCGTTCAAATCTAACTCACAACTACGAGAAATTCATGCCATACCACAATTTTATCGTTTGATTTCGTTCGAAAAGTGAAGTTATCTCTCGATTATTACTTTTTTGATAACTTCAATACGATTGTTATGATGACGACGTAACATTGTTGCACAAAATGTTTTAAATGAATGAGCGGTTCTATGATAAAATAAGAATCTTCAAATATTCTTAGGAAAAACTTACTTTTCGTTGTTGTCCGTTTGTGGTGCTTTTCCATTGCTGTGATTAGTTTGGTTGCCATTCATCTTTCCATTGACTTTTCCGTTGGCTGCTGCTTTGGTACAAACTTGCGCCATTTTTATAAGTACTTAAGTTAAGTAGATTAAGAATAATTTGAAAAATTATTGCGTGATTATTCAAAGATTGAGTTAACGTTCGTGATGCACTGCTTGTTTTAGCGCAAACTGCGATGAATGAATTTTGAAAACCGGAGCGAAACGGATTTATATTGCGGCGGCACGCAGAGAGGGCGCCAATCGGCTTGACTCACGGGTAAAATGTTAGTGGAACCGACATGGTGAATCCATACATTGCTTGTTTTTTGTAATCGTCATAAATTGCGTTCGATAATGCTTCAATAGACAATAAAGATGATTGTTTATTAACATTAATGAGTGCTTAAAAATGATCTGTATCAATCTATTATATGCGTTCTTGCGGCTGTTATCGTTAGTTTGTAGTTTTTGCACGTTTTTATTGAACAAAATAAACATTACAAGTGCAACAAATAAAGCAACAATATTTAATTAACGCATCATTGATGTTAAGTATTTACTTACAAGTATTCCAGGAAACTATTTGAGTTGAACAGCCTCTGAAACACATTTTATTTGCATACTAAAAGCATTTGCATTTGTGTATGTGTTGTTATTTTGTTCTAATAATATCGTTTCAATTTATTATTCTATTTTTTGTTTATACATATAGGCAACTAATCGTCCATTTATAACTAGATTTAAATTTGGTGATAATTTAGTTGGTGGCGAACATGCGCGACTGCGGCGCCCCCTAGAAAGCATCCGCCTCGTTTGCTCACTCTTTGCAAATGGCCTTTTCCGGTTCACGCTCCTCGTAGGAAGACGTGAGAGTTTGTTCAAACAAGGTGAATATTACTTCTTTTGCGTCTCTCAGGGTGCAATCATTAATAAAATCGACAATATTAGGTCTTGCACACCTCTAATAAAAAGTAGCAACTCGTTGGAGTGCATATAAAGTTATAATTCGTGTAAAACTTGTGCGTGACACGTGTTTGGTGGTTAGGAACACGCAGTGTTGGAACATAAATATTGAGACGCCAAGATGTTCACTTCGTACTTTCTTTTACTCAACCAAATAAGATATCTAATTAATTTCTCGTTTGTTTAATTTGTAGAGAAAATAATTAAAATAAAATCTTTATAACTCTGAAAATTACATTTATTTTCTGTTGTAGGAATAATCATGGCTGAGTTTGAGGAACCAATGGAGGAAACTCCAGCGCCGGCAATCGCTCCGCCAGCCGAAACTCCAGAAATTAAACTTTTTGCCAGATGGAGTTGTGATGATGTCCAAGTCAGTGATATATCTCTCCATGTAAGTTCTCAAGAATTTCGTTACTAAGCATGGATTCATTAGGTGTTCTGTTGTCCTATTCTAATACTTGCCAAGTGTTCTTCAAACTTGGTAGATTCGCTATAGGACAATATCAAAGCATATTTTGTTCAATGATTTGTTTTTGTAGCAATTTGTTTGTAAAAATATGCAACAATACTCTCACATCTCTATTAATTAAATTAACTACTTTAGTATGTATTTTCAAACGTTTTCGTTGTTTTTTTCAGGATTATATTGCTGTTAAAGAGAAGAATGCAAAATATTTGCCTCACTCTGGCGGTCGGTATGCTGCCAAGCGCTTCAGGAAAGCACAGTGCCCCATCGTTGAGCGTCTGACCAACTCTTTGATGATGCACGGTCGCAACAACGGCAAGAAATTGATGGCAGTCAGAATAGTGAAGCATGCTTTTGAAATCATGCATTTGCTGACTGGTGAAAATCCTCTGCAGGTTAGTTTGCTGCATTACTTACTTAGTTGCATTAGATTCACTTATATGATGATACATAATAATTTTTCTGACACCTCTTCTGAATTCTTTTGTTGAGAATCTTATATTATGGTAACAATCTGATAATCCGATGCTACTTCCTGCTCTGAATATTTTTCGAGATGTTTGAGTTCTAAAATATTGTTTCTTGCAGACTTTGGTGACGGCCATTATCAACTCTGGCCCTCGTGAAGATTCCACTCGTATTGGTCGTGCTGGTACCGTCAGACGTCAAGCCGTCGACGTGTCACCTCTGCGACGAGTTAACCAGGCTATCTGGTTGCTCTGCACTGGTGCTCGTGAAGCTGCTTTCCGTAACATTAAGACAATTGCAGAGTGCTTAGCTGATGAACTCATCAACGCCGCCAAGGTATGATTATTTCCTTGATTTTTACGGTGATTGTTTTACATATACGTAATTTTTGCAGGGATCGTCAAACTCCTACGCTATCAAGAAGAAGGATGAACTTGAACGTGTTGCTAAGTCCAATCGTTAATATAATTTTTACAATAAATGTTTTAGTACATATTTCCTATGGATATGTATTAACTCAATAAAAAATAAACATCATTTTGTATATTTAGTCTAGGTTCTAGGTATTTCATTTCAGAACTGGAGGCGTCCCTAATAAAATTAAGTGAGTATAACTGTTGTTGTTACTAGTTTTCTAAAAGTATCGTGATGATATATTTAATTTTCTGACACCTCTTGGCAGAAACATCTTTGTTGATAAAATTATATTTTAACTGAAACAATTTCTATTTGCAAATACTATTTCTTTGTTTAATTTAGTTTTAATATTTATTTTCTTTAGTTACAGGTACCACACAATGTCAGCTTCTATTTTACATTTTTGTAAGTATTACTATATTGTTGATAACTTATAGATATATGTGATGATAAAAAAAATATTTTCTGACACCTCTTCAGAATAGTCATTGTTGAGATTTTGTATTTTTACGTTCTGATATGCAATTGAATCATATCAGATATATTGTTTGGAAAGCTTTTACTTAAGTTTTTTCTTTTGCAGAGTTCTATGAGGAATTTTCGCATCTGTGAATTTCTTAGGAGGGGCATTGAATTGTAATTATTTACTTTACCTATTTTAAGTAGTTACATAAGTCTTTCTTTTTTATTATTATGATGATCATCTAACATTCTGACACCTCTTGTCAGAAACATCTTTGTTGATACTTCTTAATTTAGCTGATAAACTCTTAGTACTAAAAAATCATGTTTTCTTGATTTTTCTATTTGTAATTTATCTATTTTTTAATTCCAGGTAATTCCAAATTAACTGCAAATGTGTGCCTGCCTGCCTTTATTGTAAGTATTGTTCATTATTTCATATGAAGTTCATTACATGATGAAATTATCATTTTCTGACACCTCTTCTGAACAATCATTGTTGACAGATCAATTATTACTGAAATTCAAATCAAAGTTATTTATAACGGTTTGATAGTACCTATTTAACATAATGTTCCTCTTTTTCAGGATTGCACGATTGTGATGGTCTTCTTCAGCTGGTTTTTGATGGAATGAGAATGTAATTATTTTTTATTCTACGATTTTGTGATTAGATATAGTCCTATTCTAAAACTCAATGATGAATTCTAATCTATGAGTTTCGCTTTGGGACAATAGCAATGAACATTTTGTTCAATGAGGAGTTTTTTATAATTCTTTGTTTGTAAGAATGTTCAACACGTTTCATAAAGAACTTTATTAAGGAAGTATTCCCTAACTGGTGTTATTTTTCTTCGATATTTCAGATTATTAGGGGATCATTATCAACATAACAATTATGGTTGTTTTGAACGTAAGTAGTATTCGTATTACACAATTCTCATATGGAGTCCTATTCTAATACTTGTCAGATGGATTATTATCTGCCAGATTCGCTATAGGACGATAGCAATGAATATTTTGTACAATGAAGTATTAATATAGTGCTTTGTTTCTAAGAATATCCTACATTACTTTTATATTTAATCAAGTATTGTAGTTTTTAAAAGATTTTTTTGTATCTTCTCCAGGATCCTATGTCTCCTTTGTGAGCAGGCTAAAACTCTTATGTTATATGTAAGTAATTATAAAACTATTCAATAATATTTATTCTAATGATGAACTTTAAAATATTTTCTGACACCTCTTCAGAACATACATTGTTGAATTAATTTAACTATCTAACTGATATTCTAACAGCTTATTTACTGCAAGAGGATGAAAACTACATATATTTAACAATATTATATATTTTTTTCAGATTTTCTGGTGTTCCTTAAATCTCAGTACATTTGGGGTGTAGGGAATGAGTTATGTGTTTAATAAAATTATCTGACAAATAAAATAATTTTTTTCTTTAAAATACACTTTTATTCTTTTATGTGCAAACTTACAATCTTTTAATTTTTAAATAATTGGAACTATAAATACTTACGAGAAATTCTCATTGGTTCTCATCAAATTTTAACTAAAAAGTATGCAGGCAAAAGCTTATAAATATAGGTAGTTCTAATTGTGGATTTAAATACCCATCAAATTCGTAAGTTCATGCTGTATGCAGCCGCCTTCGGTCCAATATAACCTAGAAGCTTTGTATAAACTGTGCCTTATTTATACAATTTGAACCGTACTTTTGTGTGCATCAGTGTAACGATTTAGTACATTTTCGAAGTTTGTTTTTGTTTTCTTTAAAATGCATATTGCAATAGAAGGTTGTGCTCATGGTGAATTGGAAACCATTTACAAATGCATAACTGAACTTGAAGCTGACAACAACATAAAGATTGATTTACTTATATGTTGTGGGGACTTCCAATCAGTAAGGAATGAAAATGATTTGCGTTGCATGGCGGTGCCCCCAAAATACTATAACATGTGCTCTTTTTACAAGTAAGTGTAGACATTTTATAAGAACTAAACGTTGCAACTTCTTCTTTAATTTCAGATATTATAGTGGACAACTTGTAGCACCAGTTTTAACAATCTTCATTGGTGGAAATCATGAAGCATCTAATTATCTTCAAGAATTACCATTTGGGGGCTGGGTAGCACCTAATATATACTATTTAGGGTATGCTGGTGTTGTCAACTATAATGGATTAAGAATAGGTGGCATATCTGGTATTTATAAGGGCAGAGACTATCAAAAAGGGCATTTTGAATGTTCACCTTATGGGGAAGGCACTAAAAGATCAGTATATCATATTAGGAATGTAGAAGTCTTCAGATTGAAGCAGTTGACTGATGAACTGGATGTCTTTCTTTCTCATGATTGGCCAACAGAAATCACCAAATATGGCAATGAAGATCAGTTGTTGAGGTTTAAACCATTTTTCAAGTAAGTGCTACCTATTCGTAATAAATAATTCTCGTAATTTTGTATTTCCTATTTAATTTAGAGATGATATAGATAGGGGAAACTTGGGCAGTCCACCCTGCAATGAATTACTGCATAAACTCAAACCTAAATATTGGTTTGCTGCACATCTACATTGTAAATTCGCTGCGTTGGTTCCACATGAAGATGGCAGCGCGACAAAATTTTTAGCACTGGACAAATGCGTTCCAAAGAAACGTTTTCTACAGGTTATTGACATTCCTAATAAGAAAGACATGGCAGACTGCAATAATTCTTTAGAGTATGATCTAGAATGGCTTGCAATACTTCGGTCGACAGAAAACTTAACGAGCACTCGCAACGTTACTCAATTTTTGCCATCAGACGTAAAATCGCCGGGCGAAGATGAAAAGAATCAAATACTTTCATGTTTTAATAATAATTTATCTATTCCATGCAACTTCAAAGCGACTGCGCCTGTTTATAAACCCGGCACTCCAGCAAAAGGAAACATATATCAACCAAATTTAGAAGTCAATTCGCAAACGACCGAATTTTGTAATAAACTTGGAATTCTTGATCCGACCGAAGAATTAATAAGGAAAAATATTGATTCAAGTTCACAGAACATGTCTAGTTTTCAAAGAAACGATGATAGTGTAAATGATGCTAGTCAAACTTTTATTGAGGACGATTCTGAAGTTTCTCAATCGGAAAGTATGAATGAGAGCGGACTTTTATCTTCAGGTTTCAAACGAAAGAGTTTAGTTCTACCTGATGTTGTTAACAAATCATCTGATGATATTGAACAAGCAGCTGATGAACAATTAGTTGCTGAAATGAATGTTAATCAAGAAATGTGTGCTATTGTTGACGATTCTGCTAAAGAGTCAGAAGAGAATTTGGACAAATCTGTTGAGGAAAAGGCAACATTATTAAATGCTAATGATGATAAACCTGCTGTCAAGAAGTTTAAAAGGCGTAATGCCAGTATTTATGAGCAAGAAGATACATAGAGATAAATAAATGATGTTTTTAAATAAAGACTGATTATATTTTCGATTGATGTGTATTTGTTTTATTAGTGAAGTGATGTGGTTGCCTATATTAACATACAAATAACATTGAAAGATTCTTTAAAATACTGTTTTTTGTTTGTAGTAATTAATTTTTCGAATATTATTGTGTATTAAACCAACTGTGCGTAATTTATACGCTTTATGCGCATATATAAAACGGTTTTGTTTCAGTTTGCACTGCATATTAATTAATAGAAGTACAATTAGTTGTGGTTGGGTGTCGCTAGCATCGTTCGTAAACTTCGTGTACGCACAACTCACGCCTCTGCGCCCGGCTCGGATACGTTCGCACTTTCGGGCTGGTCATAACGATACAACATGGCGCTGCCGTCATCCTCGCTCGTGTAGGCCGCCTCCAAAGTCGAAATATTTGCGAAAATTGAATTAATACCACACGCAGCGGGCGTTAGTGAATAACCAGTGATCCGCACAGTGTCGCACCAACGATGTATCATCGGTGAGCGATCGCCGCAGCACGTAACTTCAGCGATAGCCGCACGGTGTTTGTTTGCCAGCTGAAGAGATGAGGTGAGTCGCGGTGGGCCGAACGCATCGCTTGTTTTTTCTTGCATATATTGCTCTTCGCCCATTTCGCGTAAAAATTGCGCCCGTCCGGTGTGTTCGTACATTGTGAATACTAGAACGCGAATTGTACGCGATGTTTTCATTCATCCAGCGAACACACACGCAGTAGTAGTGCTGCACGGGGCGGGCGCGTTTTGTTTATTTCTGCTCCGTTTTCCGTGCGCAAATTGCGCCTCTCCCGCGACGAGCCGGGTTTGCTCGGTGATCTGCGTCCGAAATACACAAAGAATTCAGGCATACGATTCGCATTGTTTTCGTGCGGCTCGTGGTCCGGCGTTTTGGTTTATTTACGCGTTGTGCATAAGTTTTTATCGATTCCGAAAACTTTGGGTGTGTTGAACTCTCGCACCTTGCGATGTATGACTAAAGCCGGAGGGCGACGTAGGAAGCGGTCGGTCGGGCAAGAAGGGTGCCTCTTGCGTATGCGGAAATTCGCCACCGCCTGAGACGGCGGCTAACGACACACGCAGGGTTTGCCTCCGGGCGTTGTTATTGCTTATTACTTATTACTAATCATAGCACGGCGGTGCGTCGAAATTAACCGGCGAAGAAAGAAATCATGTCGGCGACGGTCGCCATGACAACGCGTTGATATTGTGACTGGGCGATGTTCTATTAATATCCAATCCAATTCACCATTTTCTTCTCGTGGATAACATTAAAAATCCATAAAGAAAAACATTTGTTTACGACGACGAGTCATCTGTAAAACACATCACAATGTGTAATTCCAAGTTTCTCATCGCCGTCGGTTTGTTACAGTCACATTCACATCCATATCCTGCGAGAGTGTTTGTTCTTTGTGCATTCAACTTTCATTCAGCGCTAATAAGTTGCAAGCGCATTTCTTGCCTCGAAGATCGTTAGTCACAAGAGGACTCTAACAAGAAATGCATGTCTCTGTAAACGCGACATACATTTCGTAATCGATAAAATTGCCCAGATACCTACTACGTGCCCGGCGAATTAAAAAAAAAACCGCTGAGTCTGTTTTGTGCAAATGTGAATTATGTGCATGTTTATTTTCTTTCGTTTGAATCAATTCGATTAGCTACTAATTTGTTTTCGAAGTGTTTATGGTGACTACTGTAAACATTTACTTTAACTAGTTGAAATTGTGGAACACTTTGTACGTTAATAGTGTTAACTGGCGGAAATGGAAAAAATTCCCCGGTGAATCAGGAAAATCGCGCGAATGTCGCGGAAATTTGCGGATCCGATTAGAAGCGATGTCATTACCACGGGAACGGCGCACATGAAACGTCCGACTTTGTTGGCGATATTTCCGCCTCACTTCCAGAAACGCACAGGGGATATTTGTGCAAACATGAAAGGAATGTAACATACCCTAAAATAGACGTGAACCGAAAAATAAATCACCATAAAGTCTTTTATTTTTTGCTCAAAATAGATCTTAGCGTAGAGATATCGTTTCCGCAAGCATTTGTGTTAATGAACGTATAATTAATTTCAGTATTGCCGAAATGAGCGCCAATACGGAAACACGCAGAAGGTACCACTATCTGAATATCAATGTTTGATGTCTCAATCTCATTTACATTCACTCTTTAACCATCTAGGTGTTTAGAATAGTTATTAGATGTTTATATTTTACGTATTTACATCGTGATTTAATAATTTATTGCAATTAATCAAGTAATTATAAATATTTATACGTCAAAGGAATTTATTGAATCACTTTGTATACATAATAATTTAATCGTTGTATACGCTTGCCGCTCAGGCGTTAAATAAAAACATCGAAACAATTAAGCAATCGCGAACGCCTTTAGCAAGCTGCACATTGCCAGGCGCCTGCCGACGTCGAGGCGGGTCTCTGGCGGCCCAGAAGACATCGATAATTTCCTAATTAGTGCACGCTGATTAACTGCATGCCTGCATGTAATTGTCCACAGCAAGACTCGGTCAAATGTGTGTATACAATGCGAGTGTGTTGATTTTTTGTGCGACGTCGGCGGGTTGTAAGCAGTCGTATTCAATTTCCACTTGGGGCCGACGTTCTTCATTCGCGCTGCGACGGACGACCGAATTAATTAATCATCGTGAACGTGCACGACGAATAGAAGGGCTAACCCGACTGATTAAAGTTTTAATTTCGAGTGAACTTGACATCGTAAAAGTAGCGCTTTATCGGTTTAGATTGTGTTTAATTATGACCTGATAGTTAAATACCAACAACATGTCTGATTAATCTGAAGCTATTATTTAATGTCTGATAGGCGATCGATAAGTATTTTATAAATAATATTCAAATTACGAGCGATAATTTATATCATGATTTAGTGAGTTGTTAACATGAACTCTGTGTTTGTTTTGGCCGTAGATTCTTGTAAAACAACGGTAGTAAATACTTTTTACGCGTGTCAACAGACTCTTATCAACTAAGTAGGAAATATGTCGCCGCCCTATTTGAAACTTATAAAATTGTGAAATATTGTATAAGGATTTAAGATGAAACGAATTGAATTTCTCTCAGACCAAGTAAAATTTATGTATGAAACAAACTCAAACTCAAATTTGTTATCAAAACTTGCGGTTGTTTGTTCCGGTGATTTCGAGATGGTTACTGTGATAGGTAGAATGTTGATAATATGTTGGCAAAATACGTTTATCGACCCTGACAGCGAGAATAACCGAGACGTGCAACGCTGCTCTGGGAGGTATCTCTGAGGAGTGCGCCTCCATTATTGTAAATCTTGTGGTGTGCATTTCGCAGCGCTTCCTTCCTATCTAACTTGTTTCCTTGTCTGAGGTTTCAGACGCACTGGCTCGTATTCTGAGCTGATGCAGTAGTGTATAGTGTTTAATTACAAAATGTGATATTTAGATGTTTGCATGCATAACATATCTGTTCATAATTTTAAACTACGTTGATAGCTGTATTTTGTAATATGTTTTTAAAAACTAGTTTGTATGCGAGAAAACGCTGCATCATAGCGCACAATGTCGATTTGTGCGCCTTTTGTGTGCGAATTGGGTCAGTCAGTGGAGTGAATCTCGGTCGAGAAGTGAAGAAAAGACACAGATACGTGCATAAAGTGTGCGCGTTTCGAACTGAACGTACCGCTCCGCGCGCATTATGCTTTTACACTGACATGGCGTTTTTGCATTGTGCACATTTGCATTCAACGCAAGGAAAAGCCCGCGTTGGAAAATAGTTGATAATGGCTTAGGAAGCGTCGCGCAACCCCAGAAAACCCCTGCGGGATTACGCTGCCACATAAAAAAGGCAAGCACGACGTTTGATGAATAGTTTATTTTACACTGATGTAATGCTACTCCACGACGCAACTTTTAGCCGAACTGCACTCGAGCAAAAGTCGTTAAATTGTGTTTGAACAAAGTTTTAAATTGGCAACCCGTGATTGATTTTATTGTCGTCGGCGTATAAATATTTAATGCGCTACAATCTACTATGCAACCCGCCATTCGCACGTGCCATCAACGACACATCACAGTCGGCTTTATTTAAAGAATACTGCACGTGCCTCGGACACACTGCAATATTCTATTTGTCGATTGAATCAATCAATCAATTATCCAACGACACCAAATCGTTTCGGGCTATTTTTAAGACGATTTGTTTAGATAATTGCTTTGATCTATATCAGACAAGATTTTTAAACTATGAAAGACGTTGTAAGATGTTATTCCGGGAGAGTCTAATACTTTTATTACACTTTTCTCACTTTCGTTAGGTCTTTTCTGAATGATTGCGCTAACAAAAAGGGAAATTTATGGGCTTACATAAAGTGACAAAACGCGAGATGAGAAAAGTTTTATTGAAAGCGAGGGAAAGTGACGCTTTTGTAGGCCCATGCGCAATTAACCAGCACCCGGCTAGACGCACGCCCTCATCCCCTGTTTGATCGTTTAATGTGAGCAGACGCGAGGAAGCCAATAAGCCCTTGGAATGTGTGCGCGGCGCTGCTTTTGTGAAATTTGCCATTCATTAAAAGAACGAAACAAAAGTTAATTGACTCAAACAAAGCCACAGACTTCTTTCAGACATGAAATTTATTCATTCCTGTATGATTTATGAATGAAAGAAAAATAAAATAATTAATGACAGCTTCTAGATGAAATTTCTTAATTAAGAAGGAGATTTTAAGTCTGCAAAATTACATATTATGTAAATAAATACACTTTGTTGATTAACTATCGGTTATAAATCTTAAATTGTGGAAAATTGACTTTGTTACTTTGGCCCGATTGCTCAATGGTTTTCATGCGTTTGTCTGTTGGCAAACACACGGAAGATTTGCTGGCATCGTTGGAGCGTGCGTTCCTTTCTAGTATTCGTCTAATTTTCTTCAAACAATTCAGTCTGTTTGTGAGACGAGCGAAGTTCTGTGCAAATGTTTATCTTGCATTCGAGGTTTTCTTCGCGTCATTACCCATTATCCGTAAAGCATTGAATAATAACTTTTGAGGGATTAGTTTTGTTATTAATGAGCTAACAGCTTACCGTTAAAAACTAGAATTATGTTTCAGTGTTAAAAATTTAAAAACATACTATTTAAATGTTACATTGTGTGTGGCCTTACTCATTCTAATAGTCATCGTTTAATTTATGTGCATTTGCGAATGTCCTCGTTTATTGAACTGCATTTCAGCAAAATAATTATTGACTTTATGAGGACGTTTTGAATTGGTTTTATTGAAAAGAATTTCTTTCAAATTTGGCAAATATTTTGTTTCGTTTGATGAGTTCTAGCTTGATTTATATTGTTCGGGTGGTTTTTTGTAGCTTAATTTGCGCGTAATAAATAAATAAAGCAAATGACATGCCAACTACCCTATTTCACAGTCTGCCTCATTTATATTCCCAGCTAGCCGGCTAGTGTACACGTTCATTTCTGCATGTGGGAGTATGAATTTCGTTCGCCAGCGCGCCTTCCGTTTTCTAGCTGCGAGACGGCGTGGCAGTGTCGGCGGCTAGGGCACGCGAATCCCCGAGCAATCAATTTTCATGAAAATTGGGGTCGAACGAATTAACTTAACTCGATGCAAGTGGGCCCAACCACAATGAAACATCGCGGTTGGTCGTGCGCGGTATAAAAACCGATATGTCCCAAACAACACAGGATTACCTATATATTTAATAATTTATTATTCAATTTAAATTCGAACATGGTAGCCTAAAAGCGACGAAAAAGTAAACATTAAAAAATTGTATGATTGTCCCGCTGAGGATTAAAAAGATAGCCTACAAAGAGAGGAAAATTAAGGGAAAATAAATTTAATATGATGATGCGGCTGAGTGTAACCACTGTCGTAAACTCGTAATGTAATGTAATAATTCAGGAAATGTCTAATTTGTCAGCTTGTTGTTGGCGGTTTGATGCTAGGCGTAGGATATTACGAGCTGTGCGCGGCGGCGCATTACCAAACATTAGAAGTTGTAAAGCCATAGATACTCACAGCATGTAAACATAATTCATCTTTTAAAACATATAAAATATTACATAAATATTACATGACTGCAAATTTATATTTTGTATTATATCGTGAGATATTGGACCGTGGGTATTAGTATATTCTACTTTGAATCATACGATTGCAAATTATTGTTCTATTGATAATTGTTTTGCTGATAACAATTAATCAGTAATTGAATGTCAGCACTTTGCTACTGCAACAAGACGCAAATACAAAATGCATTGTCTGCAATTTTAAAGCACTGCAATTGTTTCTATTGTTTTTTCTGCCTTTGAGTCATTTGCATTATTTTTGTGGAGCATTGTAAACATGAAGATTAAAACTAGGAAGTGTAGTATCAGTTGTCACGAGTTATTCGCCATTGTCAGCCAACCGACACGACGCTCGAAATCGAACGGAAATGCGATAAGGCTACGGTTAGAATGCAAGGTTATTTATTTATTGTCAAGGAAGAGTGGCAAATTTGGGAAAGTCTTTCATTGTTGTTGTTTGTTTTTAGAAATGCTGGGAACAAACGAGTTACACAAAAACTTAAATTAGAAATAATGTGTTGAAATGAGCGATGTTTAATATTAGTTTAATGTAACAGTTTTGTCATCAGTCAATTAAGATGAAACCTCTGGTATCTCAACTTATGCAACGTGTTACGTCATGTTGCATGTCACAAGTTCGGCAGCGCTGTGTTGCGGCGCATAACAGGCATAACTAATAATCTAAAGCGCAAGTGCATCGAAACAATGCAAGTTAATTATCCGTCGGCGCGGACTTGAACACCGCGTTTTCATTGTGATTAAATACACTCCAATTATAACAAGTGTATGCACAATTTGTCCGCGCTCGCGAAACTATTTTAAATTGATTTTTGTAATAAATCTTTGCGCTATGAATATTGTCGGTTAATAGTAATAACACTATTTAAATACGGCATTAGATGTTATCTATGCAAAATATTTTTAAGAGAAAAGAGTTAATCTAGTTTTAATTGTGAGTCCACTCAGTATAATAGTTGCTTGATTTGTTATGCCTGCCAAATGAACAACGCGATGTTGTTAGTACGTTAGAATAATGTTGGTGTACAGTTGAGGGAAGCATACATTTCACTCAATCGCGCGCTCTTGTTGTTTCGCGCTTCAGACTTTGCTAGAGAGGTTGGTTTCCTTTTGCTTGATGGCTGTGCCTTGTCGTGAGATTTTAGTTCGCAAGACAATCGACCGCACAACTCGAAAGAGTTCATAATCAAGTCATTCGCTTGCATTCACTTCCATTAAAATAACAATATTTACGTTGTGTAGGGCATCTTTAACGCGCGGGTTGCTTGAAGATCGCTACAAAATGGAAACAGAAATTAACTTAGTGGGAAAACGGAGGTTTTAGGTTGAAGTGCTTTTAGTTTTGTACTTTTAAACTCTAAACGGAAATTATGACTTCCTTTACATGTTTTTAATTTTGTTAATGCAAGTACAATTTTAGAATTTGTTTGTTTTACTAATTTTTTATTTGTTTTAAGCGCATCATAAAAAATATCTCTCTAAAAAATGAAACCTCAATGCATTTTAGATTGTCAATAATTCGAAATCAATACATACGTGAATATAACATAACTTATTCATACTAATTAATATTGTGCAGTTAAATGAATGACAATCATTGTTTATTATGCATCGACATAAATGGGACATATTTAATCAATATCGAGAATTATCTGGTGAATAATTTATTGTACCTTTCATATCAAATTATGGATGTTTAAAAAAGCATTTATCTCCGTTATTTTCGCAGCTTATCATTTAGCATATGCATAATCTGAAAATACTCATTGTGATTCTCGCTTTTACAAGTTTGAATTCCCTGTGAATCATAACTTTCACTCCCTTGTCAACTTTGAGTCATAAAAGTTTTCTTTTATTGCCGCAACCGTTTTCTGATATCTGCTTAATTGATTTTGAATTGTTCACACAGTCGCTGTTTTTTTCTCAACGTAATTTTGTTATCGTTGACGGAAATACACGCGAATTCCGTGAACCGCAACAATTTTTGTTCAATTTCGAACGCGAGTCCACAAGTCGATTATCGCGACATGTTTTTCCGATGAATCAATCGATATTACGGAATTGAACTACCTTTAAACTCACCATCTGTCGATCAACGCAAGCGGACATACTAAGCAATCGGTCACTCGGCGCCATCGTAGTCGCGCTGGTCATTCTTCAAGTTTAAACTAGGTACATTGCATCGATTCCTAGAAACACGCGCGGCTGACAAATCGGTTTCACTTTGTGTTCGATTAACCATAGCCACGCTCACCTTATTTTTTTACTTTGTTCCGTGTTTATTTAGAAATACTAATTCACTTTCGTTACTAATGACTAACATGACTAATATACTCGTGAATGTTAAAACACATGCTTTAATGATCGGCATTAAAACGGTACTTTACAACTTTGCGCTTACACACAAAAACAAAGATGTTTATTGCATTTAAAGATGCTTAAGTACACTTGTGTCGAGAAAACATTGAACTTGGAAATTACGCTCGGCGAAAAGCAAATCAGATGTTTATGTTTGTGTAAAATGTATAGTGTGCGTAATAATACGCATGTTGATTGTGGTAGCATCCGTGCACGTTATTGCTCTCATTAAAAACGAATTTGTTTCCATTAATGAAAAATGAGACAGACTCAAGGCTGTCGCCGCGCGCGCTGTCATACATCCTTCGTGTGCTTTTCATTTCAGTCTGAGGTGTGCGATCATTTTCTACTTTATTTTATATCCGATATTCGAGCGCGTAACACGAGGAAAGCGTGGCCAGCTGCTGCTTTGCGTTTCGTTCTGTTTCACTGTGTTTAAGTAGGTAAAATAACGATCCGGTGCCGGCTGAAAAAACCTCGCGGTGTTCAATGTAAATCGATGCAATTCAGTAGTGCCGTAAAATCGAAACATTTCGGACGTCTTCTGCGCTCGTTATTATCGTCACTTCGTGCGCGAGGTGATAAAATAATATTGTCAATAAGCAAATATTCACCAAGACAACCTCCAGAGTTTTATGATATTTGTACCAGGCAGGTAGCAAGTGGTACGAAACGATTAAATAAATGTAAAAGTGTTATAGCAACATATCTCAAAAAAATTTTATTTTAAAAAACGATCAGAAAACATCAAATATAAAAAGAAACTGATTAATATCAGAGATAGTTCGTGGTGTTGAGTGCGGGCGACGACTTTAAAGCAAACAAATACGACGAAGGAAAGGTGTTCAAAAGGTGTTCGATTTCATCGAACAAAGAACCGACGAGACGCATTGCAATGCGCTCCAGGCATCAACGACAACAAAGTGGCTCACGTCTTCTTGAGTCGCTCGAGTACTCGTGGTCATAGGAAATTAGTTTAATATCGAAGCGCCGCGGCGCGAAAACACGACAAAAGTAAAAGTGTTCTTACTCGCCGTGCTCGAGCAGGCGCACGCTCGTGCTGAGCACCGAGTCGTGGAGTGCAATTGGTTTTCTTTCTACGCGTTCGCGTGCTTTTAACTACCTGCTGTATAAAAGAAAAACGCTGCCCCAAGTTGCGTTTTTATTTTTATTCATAACTCGCGCTGTACGCGCGCGCGTTTAACTTCATTTCCCATCAAGTGCTTCGACGCTGCGCCTCTGTGCGTTTTTATTCGGTGAAGAGTGTGAAGTGCATTGTGCGCGTATCGGTAAATTGAAATTTAAAAAAAGTTACGAGGACTTCCTCGTCGCTGCTGTGTTCCGCTGCACTCGTGCACTACATCGCTCTCTGATTCGACGGCCAATCGCGGCGTTGTAAAGGAATGCAAAGCGAGTTGGTGTTAAGTAACACGAATTAAAAACGGATTTAGTATTGTTGGTTGATGTGAGCGCGCCGGACGTTCAACACTTGTGGAGTGCGTGTTGGTGCTTATTTCATATTTTCGGTCGTTTGTCGCTTTTGATACGCGTGGTAATCTACTGCGTGTCGGTGATTACAGCAATTGTAAAAGCAGAAAAGTCAATTCTGCTGTTTACGATTGGCGCCTTGTAATACTCGTACCATGCGAACGCGAAATTTGTGCAAAAGCTCTAAGATAACAGACGAACGTTAACAACGCGTTTTATTGCTTTGATTCGGTGATTCATGCTGATGCAGTTATAGGCGAATTGCTTATTGTTGTAACAGAAAACAAAAGTCACCACCGTTGCCGTGTCCGCGGTCATTCAACAACGCTCCATAAACAGTACAAGCGCAAAATCTGTTATTGTTATATCGAATTGTGAAGTGTATGCATAAATGCTGAGTAAACCATTTAGACCAAAATTGGATCAATGCTAGTGTAAAGTTAATTTATAAGTTTATCAAACATTTTTGTGCGTGCGTCGATAAAATGTGTGACGGTGATCCTTACAATGCGTTTTACAAGGAATACGATGATCAGTACGAGGTGGAAATGCGCAAAAAGCGCCAAAGCTGGGAGCAGTATTGGGCATGGTTCGTTTATGTGATATGATTTTACGCACGTTTAGAAATTTATCACAATTGCTTATTACCATATTTGTCCTATCATTTCTTTAAATGGTAAAGGCTTTTACAACTGCGTTTCACTACATTCTTTTGTTTTCATTGAGTCACCATGGTTAGCCAGATTGTGATTATATTTGTCCTAATTTCGTCTGTTTTTCTTGTAGTGAGCAATCGATAGCGAGCGCTCGTGCGAGCGTGATGGTCTACGATGACATCAATAAGAAATGGGTGCCGTCTGGCAGCTCCTCTGGTTTGTCCAAGGTGCACATCTACCAGCATACTGTTCAGCAGACGTTTCGCGTTGTCGGTCGCAAGCTGCAGGACCATGAAGTGGTCATCAACTGCGCAATTCTTAAGGGGCTCAAATATAATCAGGCAACGGCGACGTTTCATCAATGGCGCGACAACAAACAGGTGTACGGCCTGAATTTTAGCTCGAAGGAGGATGCCGATCTTTTCGCGCGCGCCATGTTTCACTCCTTGGAGGTTCTCAGTAACATCGTGCGACAGCCACAGCAACAGTATTCGCCGGCACAGCCACCCACACAGCAGCAGTACGACGAGGACATGGGCTATCGTACAATGACGCGCGAGGATGTCGCCATGATTCAAGAACGGCGGATATCTACTGCGCTCATGTCGCCGCAACAGACGTCGCCCATGAACAATGTGCCTCAAGCGCCAGCACTACCTAATAATGTAGTTCAACCTAGTCCAATATCGCCACCTTCCAATCCAGGTAATATTGCAGTAGAATTTCTTGTGAGTTTTGTTCTTATATTAATATTTTAGGTCATCAACGTACGACAAGTGCACCGCCAGCACCACCGCCAATGAGTGGTCCACCACCGCCAATGTGTGGACCGCCACCACCTCCGATGGGTCCTCCGATGGCACCGCCAGTGCCTCCCATGGGCCCACCGATGCCAGCCATGAACGGTATTGGTGGTCCACCTCCCATGGGTCCTCCAATGCCGATGATGAATATTGGCGGCCCTCCGCCTCCGCCACCACCTCCAATGAACATGACACGTTCAGCAAGTAGTGATCAGGTCGAGAATTCGCTTGCGGCTCAACTGCAAAACGCGCGCTTAAAGAAGAGTCAAAAGAATAACGCGCAACCGCCACCGGCTGAAAACAGTGGATCGTCCACAAGCAGCGGTGGCAGCAGTAACTACGGTACGATAGGCCGTGGTGGCGGTGGTAGTATGGCTTCCATGATGGATGAGATGGCAAAGACTTTAGCGCGACGGCGGGCAGCTGTGAGTTTTGCTCTCATATAAGAAAGAAAAAGAATTTTTGTATTGCTACATTGATCTTTAATGCAGGTTGAGAAAAAGCCAGTGCCAGATGATGACGACAAGAAGGCAACGTGGGAGAAGACCAATACGCTGCCGGCTAACAGCGGTAAACACGCGCACAACGGCGATTCGCCGAAGAGTGTGCGTAAGCGATTCGGGTCTGCGTCCGAGGAAACCATCCTCAAGGTGAACGGACTCACCGATGGACTATCGCTCGCACCTACGGATCTTGAAGCACTCAAGATCGAACTAATCAAGGAGATTCAAAAAGAAATTACAAAAATGAAGCATGAAATATTAGACGGTAAGTTGCTATGATTTTTCATATACTTGAAATATACAATCATCAAAATCTAGTTTCGCAATTACTTAAACAAAATTTTGAGTTGCGTTTAAGGTTTTTTCATTCATAAATTACTTTTACGGCTCTACTTTTTACTTAGCAACTTTGCGATTGTCGTTAAATGTACGAAGGTTATAAAAACTTTAATGGTGCAGATGAACGTACATTTTATAGCTTAATTTTTGTATCGAAAACTTTGCTTGGCGAACTTTTAAAGGCCACCAAAAAGAACTCGTTTATAATGCAACGTTATACAACTTTCAATACCGTTTAAAGCACCGACAGAACAGCGGTACTCTAACAAATTAACACAATTTGAATGATTATCTCCAGTTTTATTGTTTGTGCCGTTGGCTGCTGCAACTGCAGTCTATTACAATCGTGCATTCAATTAACTAAATGCTTGTTTTATCTGTTCCAGCAATCAAATCAGAACTGAACCGAAGATAATTTAGCATAAACGATGTTGCGAACAAACACATCAGCGTTAACGTTAACCCTAATAAGAGCAAATAACTGCAAATTACTGCAAGAACAATTTTATAATTTTACATTCTTAAGTATAAACTAGGAGGAAGGAACGAGCGACACGCGCGCGTCGGTATATAACAGCGGCGTTCACCATTGATGATAAACAACGTTCGTAAGAAAACATAACACTACAAATTAAGTACCGATATGTATTTATTAGTCAACGAGCAGTAAGGAGTAGGAGATGAGCATGAAGTCTGTTGGTCAGAACAGATTGAACTACAACTTCGCAAAAGTAAGTATTGTATAAAGTACATGGATGAACACGAGGAGCTAGCGTATTGATAAAACGATAAACGATAATGTGGATGTTTCCTAAGGCTGTTTTCCGTATTTACAATTTATTTATATGGTACGATTAGCGATAAAGATGAGAATACAACCACCGGTAGGGAAAAATTCTACAGCTACTTATTAACGATAAAAAGTAACTAACATAATTCTTGCTACCGTAAACTGCAAAAAAGGAGAAACCCACCAATATTACAAACATAGAGCGCTATACACATGCAATATACAAAACATTCTACTAATAATCAAACGAAAACAATCGGTTGTGTCTATTAAGTAATGAATTGTAGATTGAAAATGTAAAATTACACATGATAGGACGATAGGAAACGAATATTACAGAAAATGTATAGAACATAGGCAATGAGCAAGTATCCCATTTCAAGCGGGTTTCCTGCTCGTTTTAAGACAATTTTAATCGATGCGAATGCAGATGGCATGGTACGTGGAGCGGAAGTTAACCGGCTGATAAATAACTGAATATATTACATGTCTTTTACATTTTTGTAACAATACGGGTCTGTCATTGTTCATCGTCGCTGTTTTTTCGTTTAGTTATATTCAACACGTCTAAAACCGGCTGCGGGTCATCGTTATTTGATGGCCAGTGTCAGTATTTCAAGTTCACACACTTGCATGATTGTATTTGCAAGAACAAATAGTTTTACGCCACAGCCATTGGTTGTTGAGTGTATAATCAGGATTGTTGACACATTGGTTGGAAACAATTGCAATGGTTTTGTCTGTTTTATCTGATGTTGTAAATTTCGATCACTGTTATGAGTTTTACTTGTTGGTATAGCAAAGCAGACGAAATTCATTGACTAGATCAATTGAAGACCGACTGGCTTTGTTTGACAAACATCCTACAGACTTTATTCAGCCAGTGGATCGTCAAGAGGGGACATAATGAACAAACCCCATGTTTGCAAACGATTTGTGTTTGTTAAACAAATTATGTGTTAATAATGTTGGATGTTTCATAAGTTAAACATCAAATAGTCATCTGATGCACAACGATGAACGTGAACTTGACGTTATATGTTGTATGGCTTGTATAGATTAACATGATTTGGACCAGTGAAGCATCCAACATGTAATCATTCACATGACAAACATATTTCCGATATTTTCATTACAGACATTTCGATCAGTTTCAAGTCGATTCGTTCTCTACTAATTTTTTACGCAGAGCGCATTATTTTTGTATATATATTATATATTAGTTCATAAGGACTTCCAGTATTTATTAAACATAAATTATACACGTTCATACATTCGACACAGATAAAATTGGAAATGTGCCATTCATCATTCATTCACATACACACATCAGTCACGGAAAATTGATTCGAACAAAAGCGCCGATAAAAAATGTTAATCGTGTAACGTGCTTTCAAACAAATATTCAACGGAACTGTGTATATTCGTACCTAGCGAAAGGCATATTTAATTAAATATAAAGAAAAACTACTGCATACTCATGTAAACACTAAACATTAACAAAAATCATAACTTACATTACATACATCGAAAAAACGATTCCATTGTGTCCTATTATACATACATAAAAATGTTTTATTCCAAATCATTTTGAATCTTGTATGTAATTTGTATAATTTCGTAATCAGCGAAAGAAAGAAACATTATTAAATTTTACTTATAGTATACAAGATGAAAATTATACATAATCATAAAAAAAAGGAAATTCAAGATTGTAAGCAAAATGGTAATATTTGTTTATTACACTTATAATATGTATTAATTTCCTAAATAATGTTTACATATTTGGGAGAAACAGGCGTTAACAAAGCGAACTTGATTAACGACGATGATGATTTCTTTTTGTGATATTTTGCTTTCTCTATTAAATTAAATTTTTGTCTCAATGTTTGTTACGTTCTTTTAGCGTGCACTGCAAACGAGTATATTTATAAATTATACAAGAACAAAAAAGATTTCTATAAATGTAACGATATTGATTAATATACGAAGTACATAACTATGAAAATTTACAGATTGTGATCTCACGAACAAATGCAATAGCACAATTTTCATGCGTTTTTGGAAAAAGTTTCGTTTGTATTTTCAATTGTAAGTGAGCCGAGAAGAGGGAAATTATGTTAAAGGAGTAAAACCAAAAAGTAAATGTATGATGATATTATTGTGCGGTGCGATACGCAAAATATGAAGCCATGGAAGCCGAAGAAACGTGAAACCAAGATGTTTTTTTTTATGTTATATGTACCGCCGGTTTTTTGTACATTTTTCGATTTTACTACAAACAAAATGTATTTGAAATAAATAATATAAATATGAAATAAAATACATGCTTTTATCTAAAATATTGAATATACACATTGAAATTTAGTGTTTATACAAAAAACAAGGTACATTTGAGTTATTTAGCAGCCATTAGCAACCTATAACGCATGGTTGCATATATTTAGGAGGCATTCTATTGCTCCGTGTGGTTTCATCTTTTTAGTTGGCTTGATTTTCGCAAAAGAACGCGAGAATACGGCTTGGTATCAAACGGTCAACGTTTCGACTGCTAGCATGACATTTATTTATTTAAATTTATGTTAATTGTCCTATATTGATTATTAACACGGAACTCAACGTATAAGACTGTTTTCCATTCGAGTAAAAACTCACGCAAACACTTTTTTCATTCATAATAATTCCTTTTAATATTTAGCGTTGTTTAAATGTATTTATGTAATTTTATTTTAATTAGAAAGTTCAATTTAACACAACAAAAAATAATTAGGGGGAAGTCCCGTAACGCCGGACGGCACCTAGCACCGGACACTCGTACTATTTAAGCTAGTTTAAATCTTTTCATTTCAAAAAACAAGTGAAAGGGGCGCGGGGGGCACACAGGTACAGGATCACTCGTCGTGGCTCGCCAGTAACGCACACGGCCACGGCGGGAGCAGCCGTTTGCTGTTTCAGGCGCAAAATCACGACGTCACCTAAATATCAATGTATGTAATACTAGTATATTTATGCATTTACATTTGAGTGGTATTCAAAGATACAAGTAGTACTTGATTGTTATCCGTAAAATGGTAGAATATTATTAGATTTTTTAATCAATTTTGGTAGGTACCACCAAATGAACGAAAATGTCTGTCCCTTAGCACCGGACACTAAGTTGTCCCTTAGCGCCGGACAGTAAACATATTGATATTTTTTGTGTGAGAGAGAGAGTGAGGAGATGGCTATGTTGCAGTCAATGCATATATTTAGTAAATGTATACATTTACTAGTCAATGCATACATTCGCTAAAATTCGTAGTTAAAGTATTCATTGTAACTGAAATGAACACATTAGCTAGTGGATGTATGCATTCTCGGGCTGCTTCTAGTCAGTGTGTTAAATCCGTTGATTAAATCGTTAAATTCTATCACCCCACCCCCCACCGCCCCATAAATAATACCAAACAAGGTAGCCTACCTAACCATATGACATATTTGAAATGTCCGGTGAGGGGGGTATGGCACAAATATGTGTCCGGTACTAGGTGCCACTTTTTAAAACTATACTTTTTATTACCAAAGTTTGATTGATAGTATTAATTATTTTTTAACAGAGGTTGCATTTTTGTTATTTTAATTTGATTTCTAACTTTGTTAACTACTATATGTCATAATTTAATTAACATTTCTTCAAATATTTTTTGATTTATTTATAAATAACCTTAGGTGTCCGCCACTAGGGGACTTCCCCCTACTACCGGTTTAATTATAGGAAGCATTGATAATTGTACAATATATTTGATTGATTTGAGTTATGAACATTTATTACTGCCCGGAATGATGGATTATATGATACGCAAAATTGAAAGAAAGCGCATTAAGGCTAACGTGAATTTAATAACAAACTATATGTGTAAAATACACATATAATTTGAGAACTCGTTGAGTAATAATTTAAAATGTTTGCTCATAAATAATTTCAATTCTATAATATAACCGCGCATTTTTATAATTCCTGTGGTTTAAGAGTTTAGAGAAGGTCAGACCTGCAGTTTAACACAATAGCGCTAAAAACATAGTAACATCCTGCACAAATACACAATTCAACGTGAAAAATATGCATTCAGTAGTGGGGATGTCAGCAGGCGGGGAAAGCAAGAAAATAGAGAAAAGCGGGTGTGCAATGCAGGGAACGCAGGGAATATCGACGTAAAGCTGTCACCGCACTGCCCGTCCTGCCGCCGCTTGCGATGATGGCGCCGTCGCCAACTACCAGTGTACATACTGCAAACAACCACCGGGTGCTGCCGGTAATTCTACCAAGCACTTGCGGCATGCAATTCACGTACTGAGGCGTACAGAGAGCGCACGATTCGCGACTCGCGACCTGCGAGCCAAACGCAAAACAAAACGATCGCTGTTCGTGGTCCGCGGCGCGGTTCCTCAACTCGCGCAACTCTACCGTCGCACACATTTCACATTTCTATTCAGTCCTGCTGTGGCCGTCCCGCGACGCGAGTGCGCGCTCCAACGACTCTCTCTGCACATAACACAACGCAACTCAACACAACAGAAACGCGTCACGATACAACACCCCCGTGTGCAGAGTGCGTTCGCCCGCTGAATTATTACACGCCTGACGTAATAATATCAGAGTCATCAGAGTAACGCGCTGTGTGTGTGGAGAAAGAAGTCATTGGCAGTGTACTTCATTGATATTCACCCCGGCGCGTAAAGTGTCCGGCTTGGATCTTCGCGCTGTTCATGCGGAGCTGTGCGTTCGGAATAACAAATTAAACTGCACATTTTACAATTGCCAGCGAGTGTGTCGCCGCATTCAGCAAAGTGCAAAGGGAAACAGGTACGTGCGTTTTGTTTAATCGATATATGCGTGCGAGCGGTGTTTAGCATCGCGCTTTGAACTCGAAACTGCATCCTGTAAATTCACACAGCGTTATAATTACCTAGTTTCAAACGCAGTGTAAAATGCAAATCACTGTAAATCCAATTGGCAAGATACTTCCTTTGAGTGCATGGAACAAACAATAAATACAATTGTGTAATCTTTAATGGAAAAGTGCCAATACAGGTGCGCTGCGTGCCGCAGGCAAAACATCTCGTAATTCGTTAAGAAAAACAAATGAAAATCACAAGAAGATGCTTAGCAGGATTGTTGCATGCTCCACGCGCAACACAAATAAATGTACAGTTTCTCGTTACACGTTAATATTCTCTTTATTATTAACGAATGGCTAAAGATGGACGATTGCACCGTACGGCATTTTACGGTTTTGCTTCTTTGGCGCTCGGATGAAGATCGCGAATATCATCGCTTCCTGCTTGTTTCGCCTGCCAACCGCATTTGTCGAATGCTGGATTAACATTAACATTAGCGTCATCGCATAAAAGCCAACAGAGTAATAAGCATTTCCACTTATTACCGGGTATCCGCGCCGAATGCAGGCATAACTGTATTGTCACCTACTTGAAACATTGAAAACACGAGTTGAATGGCTTTATTACGAGTTATGAGTTCTCTAAAAACTTCAATTATTATTTACATGCCGCATCAAAACAATAAAAAAATGTTTCGGTTGGTTCTTTCGGTGAGTTCGTGCTGCGGATGGCTTCTTTTGTTTATTTTTTTTAGTTGTATTATCTCGGTGGTAATTCAGTCGTGGCACAGTTAAAATTGTCGAGTTGTGCGTTCCAGGAACGCGGCACGCCGTGACACCGCTGACATCAAACGAAAAGTCAACGTACAAAAAGTTTGGAATTCAACTGTTTGTAATATTTGTAGGTGCACGCGTCACAAAGCTGAAATTTTACGAGTAATTTGGAAATGATGATTTTATGGGACGTGACTTTGTCATGTTGTAATTCGATTATTTCGAAAAAGATAAAGACGTTAGTTCTGTGTACAGAGTGATAAAATTCCAAACAATAAAGTTGTTTTAAAAATTTGCTCGGATTACTACCGAACACAAGTTTTCTTTTTCATGGCGCTTTTATTAAATAAAAAGGATAAAATAAAAGCGATATTTTTTGTCTTGGTTTTTTTTTATTCTTTACGGTCGAGAAATAAATGTAACTTCCATGTTTTGGTACACAATAACCATTACATTTGTACATTTGTAGTTATTTTGTTAGATAGTCATTTTATAATATGTACTTTTGTACTCGACTTCATAAATTACTGTAATCAGAGTCAGAAACAATAATTTATTATGTATTATACGCCGAGGAATCGATGTTAGTTGAGTTTATCAATGCTTCGTGAAAAATTAAGCAGTAAATTTGAATTTTTTTGAGTACCCTATATAAATTCACGACTGTGATTGACATGCAACACAAGGAACTACTCTTTTCACTTTTTAAATCTCTTTTCTTTGCTTTGCTGAGGTCTTTAAACACTTGCATTTTTTATGAGTAAACGATTACGACACAGCCGTCTCTCGCATGCACGCCGGCGAAGCTTTGACTTCCTGCTCCTTCACACGCAACAATTCACGAAAAAACCTGCTCTCGGGCTGGTTGCGAGTGGCGACCGGCCGTCGAATCCAAGTGTATTATGTATGTGAATCTTTATGTGTATGCGTCGTACGCGATGTGTGATATTCGGTCACTCGGTGCGTGTGCGTTTACTGCTCGATGATTCATTCAACGCCGAGAGATTAGCAAGACTCGGCAAGCACGCGAGATTCGAATCTTTAGGGAGAGACACCGAAGGCAAGAACACAAGAACTCCCCACACAACATTATGATACAAATCTTTTCTCGATTAAAACTTGTAAGGAGCAGTACTTTGGGAATACTAATGATTGTTAATTACTAAATGGTGCTGAAAGATACAGTTGGAAAATTATACGGGTTGAAACATTAAAAGTACATAATATTTCGGCAAGAAATTGGAATTTACTCTCTAGTGAAACAATTTGAGATCCAACTATTGTTATTGTCAACATAATCCATCTTAAAATGTCACTATTTGTGTTATATTACACATCTTGAGCTTTCAGGGTAGATTTAAGGGCTGTTACCAGGACTATTTATCACTTTTCAAGGTGACATCTTGCGAGTAGAGTGCTCATCGTATTTGATTCAATGTTTTTTGTTTGTATGGTGTTTTATTTACGAGAGACATTTTTAAACATTGGCCGAGAACACTGGTTACATCAAAAACTATTCGGATAGAACTAGCTCAGATGATATTTTAGAATGCTGAGACATTTCAAGTGATAAAGACCTTAATCCTGTAATTTAATGTTGAGTTAAACATATTGTACAAGTGATAACTTAAAGACTTTTTTATTGAATGACATAATATAAAAGAGTTCATAATAACTTTATAAAAAAAGTGAAACGAAGAAATTGTGTGATAAGTTTTTAATTGTTTTAGAAAGTATTATAAAAAATCCTCGAAGCTATTCTATTACACGTTTCACTTTTATTATAATTGCAAATTTTATAATTGGACTCGATTCGAGTTTTGAATGTCACGGCAAAATTTCTCAAATTCAATTTGTCGACATTTCTTACATGTCATCATACCAAGTGTTTGCAAGTTTACGTGTAACTTGAAATAATTTGAAGTTAAAAATCAAAAATTGCAATCCACTGAATTAAGTCGAGTGCGGAAGTGTTGGAATCAGGTTAAGTTGAGCAGAATTTTCAAGTGTGAATTTGCATCGATGTGAAATGCAATGTAAGTTAGCAGCAAATAGTGTAGAAAAACTGGAGCAGCCCGTTATATTTATAAAGTACGAAAATCTGGGAGCCGAAGTAGCGAGAAGTATTTTCGGCGACTGGGAAACTGACTCGAGTCGTCGGGCTCGGACGCGCGAACCTTACATGCCAAATCAACATTGCCAACATCGCCCGATGCTCGCAACAGGAAAACGCTTTTCCAAGTTTAACTAACACGTCTGCCGTGCGACGTTGCGTCGCTTGCGGCTTTTCACGGCGGCTCGCGCTATTGTTGAACGCGCTTCTCGTTGCGTTACTCAACATTCTGCTATTTCTACCAACACAATCCAAACGCGACTGTCCTTCGCGGTGCGGTGCGCAGTCGAGTGGGCAAACATTAAACTGTGTACTTTTTGGTGCTTTTGCAGACGTGTCCACCTACGAGGATGGTAGCCGGCGCGCAGTAAGCGCGTGATGGATTTGGCCGAAGCGGTCGACGACTTAATCTGCATCTTCGACGGTTCGGGCGACACCACCATGGATACGCTGGCGATGTTTATCTTCGGCTGGTTGCTAGCCGCCCTCTTCACATTATGGCTAGGCAAGCTCATCTATAACCGTTTTCTTGCGCGCGCGATAGACAAAACACTCGATGTAACGGCATCCGCGCCGGTTACGCCGACGACGGGTGCATCGAAAACAGACGCGGGGGCGGCGGCTACTACCGATAAAGTAGACGCATCGGCGAAGCGATCGGCGTCTACCGCGAGTGCAAGTGCGACTCGATCTGGCGGCAGGGCGGTTGGATCGACGCCGACGGCCGTCCGGCGGCGGTTGACGCGGCAGAGTCCGGCGCCGGAGCCGAGGAAACATAAGTTTGTGCCGGCGCCGACCACCTCTGGCTCCGATAATATCAGCGTGCTGTGGGTGAACGACGTGTTTCAGTGGCTGTACAATGATGCGTCTATCATCACTGATCTGACCATCATGTGGCTGCAGAGCTTGAACGAAGTCGCCAAGAAAGCATTCGTAGAGGTGAGTTTCTTAAGCGAAATTTTTATTATCGATTTGTTTTTGATTTATTGCTGTGTGGAAATCGTAAAAACGCTTGTAAAATTTGCAATTTCACTAAACTTGAGAGAAAATTAACTGGGTCAAATGTTTTTGATTATATATTTATACCAAGTGAGTTAAAATATTAAAATATTTAACTACAGAGCCGTTTATAAAAAGAACAAGCGTCTTATGACGAAGCCCTACTTTAATAAAAAAATTTAACTGGTGGTATTTCAATTAAATCTTTCGTTATTATAATATCATTACGTCATTCCATTTTATATAGGTGAACATAAAAACACACTATTTCCAAGTTTATAAAATGTGTATTTTATGCAAAAATTAACATGTTATCATGTGTAGCCTACTAAAATCTGTTAAAAAGCCACTAACACGATTATAAAAAAATATACCATGCATAATTTACACATTCATTAGAAAAACAGGAAGCTAATGTGTTGATTGTAAAAAAGACCGTTTGTATGCATGCATAACTCTCGGTATATAAAATATAAATTATTACTTAAATACCACACTTCCTATGGAAAATCATAATCTATTTTTAAAGCATTCATCAGTAATGAAATTTTAATTACCTCCACAACCCACGCAAAAACTGGCACTAATTTGATAAAGTAATCAGCGAGTTTTCTGCGGTATTTGCAACACATTGAGAAACGGAAGGTGCTATTTCATATTTACTTTGTTTCTGAGTATATAATAACGTTCAACTTTTCAATGAATCATTAAGTTGCAGATGTATTGTTTCTTATCTGATACAATTTTCTCCTGAACTGTATACCTATCAGGTCATTGTTTGGAAAATACTTTTTAAATTGCGCAATTATTTTATTCTAGAGCGATATAACGCATAGGGTAAAATCAAATTTATTTATAAAAATTAATAGAAGCCACTCAATAGAGTTATATTTAAATAAATCAATCATTATTCCGATAAAAGAGTTTTCAGTATTTTTAGCTATATAAATTTATTCAATTGGAAACAGTTTAAGACTTTCCAGATCACTGCATTTCTTTCTGCACAATCGATTAGCGTTACATTTGAGTTTGTTTTCCTTTCACATAATTTAATAATCATCTGGCGGGCCTGCTCTCCAGTGTACGCAATACGCTGCATGAGAAATTGATGACGCCATTGTTCACACAGCATTCACAACTTGCATTAAATATTTATTAAAGCTGGCGCATAAATTTCTAAAAATACCTGCCGACAGCATGTATTTGCGAACACATCAATGGGTACCCAACGAATATAGTTTATGATGACGGCATCGATTCCAAATCAGTTCTACGCGATTTTGCATTTCTACTCGTTTCCACACTATTCGTTTTCATACAGTGCCTGCTCGTGTGTATTTCTGTGCACTCCGTCACTCTGCAAATACGAGTAGGTAAACGCTTCGGCAGGGCTGGAACGGTTTTAAATAGGCAATTAAAAGTATGATGGAGTCACGATGAAGTCATCGACGCGTTGACGCCACTAGGCACATTAACGGAAATCAGCGAAACATTGAAATTTATTTGGTACGCCTTGTTTGCGATGGTTAGAGGAGAGGTAGGTTTGCGAGACTAATAGGTAAATAACGAACGCACCTCTCGCTAATTTGACATGTTAATAAAACGCAGTGTTATTGATGGAATGCGATGATAGTAATGACATTTTTATTTTATTTATTTTGTGAGTTACAAATTGGGATTGTCAATAAACATAATCAATAGATAGCTTGTTTTCCAATTTTTCTATTTTTAAAGTAATGAGTTACATACTAGATGTTTACATTTTACTTTTATAAACATTATGGTAATGTAATAATCATAAAACGTGTTAATTAAGCAAATTTGTACAAGCAGATAATATTTACTGATTCTGTCACGATTTTAAATATATTATCGCATGAAATTGCGCTGACGAATCAAGAAACCATTGTTTTTTTGTTTTTTGACCAACATTTGTTAATGAGTATGTAATTTCCAAGATATCTCTATAATTTCATGTTCCGTTACATCTGAGTAAATTACATTTGTCAAAAAAATGTGCACCCAAATTCCGATATAATACAAGTATAATTTTAACGATGAGCAATTATATGTTATTATATTTATTATATGGCTTCTTGTGCAACAGCTTGTTAATTAACATTTGACTCGCCGGTTGAAATCTAAATCAGGCATAATCAAATATATGCGAGTGCCAGTAAATCGTAAATGAGTGTACGTAAGTAAGTAAGCAGAAATGTTAAATATTCGGATACTCATAGTTCAAATCAGTCGAACTCGAACATTGAGTGTATGCATTCGAATTTGACCTTTACGTTGTTGACAAATGTCCTGTTGTCGAATTTATTAGGCTAATAAGATGACCTCGACTCTAGAAGGCTCGCATCATCGTTATATATAATTATTATTACACAGATTGTTAGGAATACAGTAATCATAATGATATTAAATATTACTTGGTTTAAATTATTTCTACAATTAAAGTTACATAAAAAAAATTGTATTTTTGCGATCTAATATTATTATTAGAGTATTTAATTTGTAGTGAAATTAATTAAAATTATACAATAGTGAAATGCGATTTTATTGATCCACTCATCCGAAATAAAATAATAATTAGTGCGTTTAATAAACAAACGTATAATTATATTAATCATCAACAAAAAGACTCGGTAATTTTGGTAATTTAATATAATTTGTTACTTTAACAGTTATAATTATGATTACAATAATAATTTATTGTTTCCGCAATACACACAGCGTGTAAACTGCTGCGGGCTGCCTTAAATAATTGCAAACTTGATTAATTTTTGCGTGTGCGTTTTGTTTCAGGAAGGTATTGGCATTGAATTCGTCCGAGTGCTGCCCGAAACTAAGCCACCGATTATTACAAACGTATTCTCGGAGTGTGCATCGAATGATGACGTGGTAAGTAATGAGTAGCGATTAATAAACATTTTTTCATCTGCTAATTTGAATAATTTTGCGCTACCGCACATATGGTACATGTTTATAGAAGTCGCGTTTGGAGTCCATTCATTGCGATTGTTGACATTGCGAGAAACGCGCTTAAATTTGAAATTACGATGTTTTTTACGCTTTTCGAATAGTAACGAAGGTATCAACTGACGACGGAATGACTCCAATGTTCAAACGCGAGCTTTGAGAGTTATGTTAAGTAATGGCTTGGCGCCGTAATTGAAAGCAAATTCAATTTGTTTTATGATTATTTCGATGCTCGTTCGAGGAAAGTCATACCATAGTCGTAATCGAATTTCGATTGGATAATTTGAGAGTCCTTTTTATTGCTCTAATTGAAACGTGTCTGCATTGACATTTGTTGCTTTTTGAGGGTGCATTATAATTACGAAAATAACCAAATTCAATTAATTTCTTTTGTAGTTCCTCGTATTTTTTATAGTAAATTTAATTAATGTGCAAATATCGACTGATAATATTTAGTAAGTGTTTTTGTACAGTACCTACGTAAAAATATATTATTCATAAACAACAGTTTATGAAATGTGTTATTGTGCGTTGAATACTCACCCTGTTGTTTAATTAATGTTTTTATTATTCTCACATTAAACGAGTAATAATTACGAACGTAAACAACAATTATGTTCATTCAGATATTAGTTTAAACGTAAACAAATTTATATTTTTCAATAATTATCGGATAATAATCAAACCAAACTTACTTTTTACATTTTGCAATAGTAAATATTGCCTATTGTTTGATAAATATTGTTTTTTTATATATTTTAAATAATTACTCGCGCAATTATCGAAACCTCCAACTATGCAAAAAGTATGGCTGACTTTCAGAAGGCATGTTGTTTGTTACTTTGGTGCCTCTTATCATGGCCTCTGAGTAGTAACAACTAAATACATCAGCGCTATATTTAGGTCAGACTCAGACGAAAACACACCCAGCGCGATTTTGCGTTACGTTCGTAATCAGTATTTCAATAATTAGTCACTATTTCGTATCCACATCTATTATTGTTTTAATGAAGCCATACACTGTTTGGGTTTCTTGTATGTGAGATTTAATCTAAACTAAGTTTCGTATGTATTTTATCCGTCATAATCGAGCTTAACACCTGGAAATTGAGCATATGCGAGATTAATGTGAGAAAAGTTAACATTGTTGCGTAATACTAAAACAATCGAACGAATGTGTGGGGTAAATAAAATACTCGTACTCCTAGAAAATACATTTTACACAAACAACACACGCGTGGAAAACTGCCAGCAGAATGTGAAAAATACAAAAGAGCATACTTACAGGCGAGACGACTCGTTTGACTTGAAGTTTGGACTATGTTACGCTACGCGTTAACAAGTTTTTGTTACCTGTGAATCTGCCCACTAATTATAACGTATTTTTTTGTTTAATTGATGTGCTGATGCGTCATTTAGACAAATAATTTTTACATGATGGCTCTCATGATGAGGCTGATTATTTGGGAGAGTTGTGCAAATTTGTAGGTATAACATCGCGGAAACTCATTATTCTCAATTTTGGCACTGCCGTTACATATTTTCCGTCTTGTGTGCATTTATATATTTACTTATTTAGTTTAAACTTTGTAAGATATGCTAGGCTAGGTTGTCATATATAATTTGACGTGATGTTATTAATGGATTTTGGTAAAATGATGAATTTTCAATTTTTGCAAACTCATGAAATGTGTAATATTATGTTTCCGCAGACGATAACATGCGATTGCGAGGCCACACCAGCCTTCCAAGTGAAGTGCACGCGCATGAAGGGCGAAAAGACAGAAGTGTCTCATTATCGTGCCAACGTCAATCGTCTGCGCGCTCGATTGAACATCTTCAGCGTTTCGGAGAAGTTACAGACGTACATCAAGTGCGACGGATGGCCGGAGATCAAAATTGCCTTCGCTGCAGTCGGCAACATCAAGAACAACCTGGATGACCAACAATTGCAAGAAGTCATGAGGTAAATGCCATTAACATGTCACCTTGGAAATTTTATTTTACTATTATGTCAAATGTTTTTTATGTCAGTGTACTAAAATATAAAAAGATCATCATGTCGTGGAAGATTACGTTTGTGTTTGCACTATGTGCAATTCTAATTGAAATAATTTTGCGTAAAATATTTCAAGGCCTCATCGACTTTACCAAAATGCCCGAGAGGGCCATTAAATAACCAATAATTGAATTGGATTAGTGTTTATTTTATTGTGCTATAATAAGTAAATTGTTCCAGTGACATAGCTATAAACTCGTTGCGCAACATGGAAGTACACTTTAATATGGCGAATTACCCTTCATGTCCGCGACTTGTCCGCCATGTTGATAATCCGGGCGGGCGAATTCATTACGACTCGCAAGTGAGTAGAAACAACGTTTTTTTCTTATTTATTGGTACAAATAATTTATTGTGATTTCTATGTTAGTCCAATGCATACACGTCCACGCCAAACACGTCGGCGGCAATGGATTTGGAAGGCAACAAGCGGTTGCTCGTTAAGGTTGTGAAAGCATCGCAGTTAGGCGCTACCCAAGGTTGTAAGGAGCCGTTCTGCGTGGTCGAACTGGACGAGCCTCCTCAAAGGCAACAGACCGGCGTAATGAAGGGCACCGATAGTCCTTCGTGGGAGGAGCATTTCTTATTGTAAGTCCTTATCGTTACTAAATTAGATCCTGTAGATTTTGGATAACCGGATTAAGTCATCAGACAAAATTGATGGTCAATGAAACGCTACAGTTTACTACTGTGTTACGACTAATTGCGATTCAGGGACAGTCGAGAGAGGGATTAATCACATTAACCTGGATTTTGGCCACTTGACTTGACATTCCAGTAATTTGATGGTTTGTACTTTTTCAGTGACTTAACTCCGCACACCGCGGAAATCCTTTTCGAAGTGTACGACCACGGTTCGTCGCCGCATAGATTCCTCGGTCTGGGCATCGTAGGCGTTGAAGAACTACTCATCAATCCGTCACAGCGACAAATTATCTCTCTGCAAAGCCGACCATATGAGAGTGATGTGATCAGCGGGACCTTAACAGTGGAAGTAAGTGTTTGCTAGTCCCTATGTCTATTTCTATATATCCGGAAGTGGGTCGATAACAGAAACTTATTAGTAAATGTGTTTTTTTTTTGTCGCGTCACCTCACCCACGCCACTTTCATCTGGTTTATGTGTGCTGTCCTGTGTTGCAGTTTATGTTTATTGAGGGACCGGAAATTCCGCCAACGTTATTAGGTCAGTCGATGAGAGTGAAGGAGTCGATCAGGGGTGCGCCCGGCACTGCCCCAACGATCATGACAAGGACCACGACGACTTTCCGCAATGGTGCGTTTTATTGACAACTTGTGTAAATATTTGCGGCGAACGCTACGGATATTTATTTTTGCTATCCATTCCAAAGTAGTATTTTATACGTTTCATTCTATTTCACAGATAATTTAATGAATGGCGATCACTTAGCTAAAGTCGCCATTAATGATATCGAGAGGAATCGCGATGCGATGGGTAATGTCAACAAAAGTTCTTTGGTCATTCACAGTGTAGCACGAGTAAGTTGTAAATTAAATTATTTAATAAACAAAGTATTGATTTGTGTATTTTTGCAGCAACCATCGACACGACTTGTTAAGGTATGTTTTATTGAATTATGTTTTATTACTTTTTTGTAAGATGTGACAGTTCAGTGGCATTTAGATGAGTTTGTAGTGGTTAACACTGGCGACGTGTTGAACGTGTGTTAATATTTTTTGGTGTGCGTGTGGTTTTTGTTTTACTAATCAGGTTGAATTGAGTGACGGCACCTGGAAGGAAATCGAGCGCGTCGAAAAACCGTTGGACGGTGACGAGGCGACCGCAGCGTCACCAGAAACCGAAGAAGTAAAAGAAAACGGCTTGACTAACGGCAATCATTCAGCTGAAAACGGAGATAAGGTAGCTTAATTTTGTATAACACTTTTTGTAGTTCCCAAAAGACACCTTCACCTATGCTGTGCTTTGTTTTCTACTACTCTCTTAGATCATAAAAAAATATAAATTAACATTTGATTATAATTTATAGCCAGCGGATCAACTCCCAACTAATAATACGCAACCTACACCGGAACCAGCGCCTGAATTCCGTGGAAGAACTCGTAAACGAAGGGATTTCTTCGGTACCATCAAACGCCGTCTAGGCAAATCGAAAAACCGTTCCAAATCGGCTGGACCGGACGACGAGAACGGACGTGACGATTCGCTTAATCGCTCGATTTCAGCTGATCGTTCCAGGGGAGAAGAAAGTAATTAAAAAAGTTTAAAACAAACAATGAAGATTTAATTAAATTGTGTATTCATTAGGTTACAGACTAGGTATTCCTGGAAGGAATGAGTTGGAAACGTCACGACGGTCAAGCATTTCGGAAGCTTCGGGCTTAAGCACGGCCTCAAATCGAACGTACATTAACGAAGCGAGCACTTTAGTGCTGGAAACTATCGAGAACGGCATTAAAAAACATTATTTAGTGCCGCTGTCACTGGCGCAAAAGTCAAAATGGCGAAAAAAGGGCAGCAAATTACACATTTTCAACGACCACACGTTTATTGCCAAACATTTACAAGGGTAAGTTACGTTTTTTATATTTGTAGAAAATTTAAATTTACTACAACTCAACGTTTGTACTAATGGGAAAACTTTTACAATTATTTATTAGTGGAACCGTGTGCCAAGTCTGCTGCAAGAGCATAGCACGCCGTATCGGCAAGCAGGGCTACGAGTGTCGCGATTGTCTGCTAAAGTGCCACAAACACTGCCACGTGAAAGTGAACGACACTTGCCCGACGTCCACCATCTACAATATCGAATTGTAAGTACCTACCCCGCACACATTCATCAATCTCGAGAACTAACAAACCGCACACAATTTAACAATTGTTTGCATTAGCAATATACTGTACTAGTAGAGTTTGTTAAGCCAATCGGAAATGATTAAATTTACGTTTGGATTAGTTCGCTAGCGGAGAAATTAATTTGCATTTCTTTTTGCGCATTATTGATCTCTGAAATTGAAATTGGAAAAGGGTTTTAAGTAAGTGCCAATATTTTTTACAAAATCATATTACACTAATATTACAAATGGCCCCACACATTATATATTTTGCTTGATTGCTTTAACTTTATTACACACACATAAACTGTCCAAATGCTTTGGATTGCTTTACGATGTTCAATTGGTCGATAAAATGGATATTAATTCTTATTTCTTTCTATGGGTCTCTGCTGCCTGTTTTGAGTGAATAAAGTGGTAAGAAACGTGTGTGTTGTCTGCAAATTTGTGTGGAATTTTTCCTGTTAATGTTTTTTTTATCAATATTTCAAACGTATTTGATTGATGTCCGTGTTTTTACTTGTATTACTTTTATTTTGTTTTTTCTTGTTTGTTTGTATTTGTCAATGTCCCACTTAACTATTATAATGTTGTAATAAATTTATAGATTGTACATTCAGAACCTCTACCCGGACAAGAACATGAGTATGCTGTAAGGATGTAACTTCATCGAATATTCGCCGTGCGACGACTGCAAGCCAAAAAAAAAACGACACACAAACAGATAAATTAATTTAATTTGATGAACTTGTTAATAAGGGTGCTACACGTATACATAACATGGATGGGGTAAAATAACGCACTGTCTCTTCCTGGTAGTTATAAAGTTTACTAACTATTACGAATACAACCACGTTCATTTGCTTTACATTGCATATTAAACGTGGAACTTGTACGTGAGCATGAACAAATGTAATTTCACTGCTTTGTTACTTTTTTTTAAATATTTTTGTTTTGTGTTTAATTTAATTGTTTATTTAATTTAATTTTGTTATTGGTAAATATGTGATTGTTTTTATTATTTTTATATCGATTGTGTTATCTATTACTTGGGTGATTGTATGATTTATGTTGATTAATTTCGACCTATTTTAATGTACTTTTAACATTGTGTTGGATGAATGATGACCTAAACAAGTTGTTTCCGCCGTGGAACTTCTAACATTTGCACAGTTTGGGTAACGGCATGTGAAATTATGCAAACGGAGAAAAGTTAGCTGCGCTTGGAGTTTTCCAGCGGTAACAACTTGTTCCACGTCAAATCCAAACTTACCAACCAGCTCGAGAGGTTTATAAGATCTCGGTTTGCTACTGTTTATTAAAACGCATAATTAATCTGTGAGCAGCAATTCAATTACGTTCAATTGTTCACTTCTGTCTAACAAGCGAAGCAAACAGTCCAAATTTAACTTGGCCAACTTAACATGTCACACTTTGATAAGTATGATGTAATTCAAGTTGAGAGATAGATTTAAGCTAAACGCATAGCTTCAACTGTCACTTCAATACAGTACTTACCCTTAAACAACATAGACGATACTAATGTTTACAAATGTGTGCTAAAATCGGCTGAATATGCATAAGTAATATTACTTAAACTACATAATAGCTTGAAACCACGAAATACTTATACGTTTTATATTCAATTTGTTAACTAAGAGATAGCTTTTTGTAAAAATTTACATGTTCATAAATCATCGAGTTTTCATCAACGTCTTAATGGGCAAAAAGCAGCAGCAGCAACCACAGCGGCAGCTTAGTTTTAACAGTCACGTCATGGGGGTTTGTTAATTAAGCGCGGGGTTCACGTTTATTAATTAAATTAATTAAATGTAAGTAAGGTATATAGTATAATACATACACTTAAGATACATAATTTGATATAAAAATAAAACAGGTCAAATATAATGTTGATAATATTGAAGAAATGTAAGAAATGAAGGAAAGTGTTGGTAATATATTGCGAGAAACGTGTAATAATAAACAGTTTACTTATTATGATAAGTGCCTAAGTACACAAAAGTTTAAATAAATGTTTATTGGTCATTATCAAATTAAAACTTAAGCGGCGTTCGTAAACGGAAAGAAAGTAACAAAAGAAAAGATATCACATATAACAGAGGTAAAAATAGATATATAACAATGTAACAAACAAGCGGACATATACAAAAGAAAGAGTTTGATTGATATTGTAAATGTGCGATGTCTTGAATCGTGCGCGAGCAATTTGTTCGGACACAAAGAAAATGAAAACGATAAAGTTATAATTTTTGTTAAAAAGTTGAATATATTGCTACTACAATCAAGATGTTGTGCGATTTTGTTTCCTGTCTATTTTCCAGTGCAGTGTGTAATTATCCGCGCATAATGCTAAATAATGACATTTGCAAAAAGTGAAAGTTTTGATTGTTAAATGAAGTGAATGCTTATTTTGTTTTGTAAATCGGTTGCCACGAAGTACGGTTAGTTTATTTTATGTGTATTTAAGAATTTCATCAGAGCAGATCTTTGTTGTTAATATGCAGAAAAAGATTTTTGTATAATGAAAATGTTTAATAATTATGCAGCTATAAAGTTGTGCAATTTCACCATCGCAACATGAAAGTAAATGGTGTGTGGTTTTTTTTATTTAATTGCAATTGTAACTGTGGATAATACAACATTGAAGAGTTGAATAGAGTTTTTCATTTACAACAGTAATGATTTATAAAATGATTTAAGTATTTGCTAATAACATTAAAATTGATTTTGTACGTGACCGTAATTATTGCCCGTCATATTGCTCAGCGTGACAAACTTTACATCAAAGACACAGGCGCAACAGGTGAATAACCCGTTCCATATTGCATATTGCATTACATCATTAGATGACTGACTTTCAATACATATCACAATGGCCCGGTTCAGTTATTGATAATAACTGTTTCGTCAGAGTTTTCCATATTACGGTGCATTGTTCAAATCGAATGTTCAACTTGACGGACTTGCCTGGTGTTCCGTTCTCGCGGTGGTACCTGCCTGCCATGTGCAGGTAACAAGCGTCGAAGCGACCATTAAATTTATTATTGCATTGAACGCGGATTTAAGCTGTACGGTGGTCTGCTGTTACGAATGTGTATTGTGCGTGTTTCATGATTGAAATCTGAAATGCGAAGCAAAACTACTCGTAGTTTCACTTACACCGCAACACATGCGCGCTTTTACGTTTCAATGCCGGCGGGCACGATGACTAATCCAATTTCAATGCTGATGGCTGTTGGTAGACGTTGGTAGACAGTAAAACATTTAAAACTACTGTTAAAGAAGAGTTTAATTGCTCGTACATTATACAGAATTAAAATCATAGATTTCTTCGTGCTGATAGTTCGTTATAAATGAATTTAAAGGAAAGAATCAAGTAAAAGTATGATTCTAAGGAAATTTTAATGCTAGTTAATTTTTATTGAACATTTTTGCTTTTCATAAAAATAAATCAATATCTACTTTACAATTGACGTTAACCTTGCAAAGAATCAATATATTTATAATAAAAAACTGAGTATATGGAATAAAATATACAGTGCTTTTATATTACATCATTCGGTGATTTTTTACGTTTAAAATCGCCTAAGGTAACAAATCCACAAAAAAACTTCAAATTATCTTGGTTTTAGATTGTTTGGCTTTGATTCCGTGTTTCAATTTAGTTATCTGTAACGAAAGCGTGAAGAATTCAAGTGTGAAACATTGCGACTTTTTTCTTTACCACAATTTCGTGCGTTTCGCGAGTCTACCTCGAAATTACGTTAATTTCAAGTTAAACATTGTAATCTTGAGGGAACACGAGAAGACAATAATACCATTGCGTTCAAAGTGGTTCTACAATGACTAACATTAAGCAAGTAAAAAAACTTTCCAAAAGTCTAAAACCTACAAACAAAAAGATTGCCTTCGCAGAACGGTCTTGAATTACTTTGCTAATTGGACTGCTTGTTTTTGCGACTTAATTAATTAAATTAGATTGCGGCACTAACAGACACAATCGCATCTGCAAGTCAACAACGAGTATTGTTACAACATACAACGTTAGTAGCGTGTTTGTGTTTATGTGTTGAGGACGACCAAAACAAAAGCATCACACGTGTTCTGCTTGCTTTAATTTCGCAAGTGTGTTTAATGTTTCGGTGCGTTGTCTTTAGTATACAAACTACCACAGTAGAATCGCGTGTGATTTAAAAATAGACGTCCTTTTAGGAAGGATTCTCCGTTATTATATTATTAATTCATAGCGTGTACCTTGAATTCAGGCCTGCGCAGTCGAGTGTGTGCTGAATTTTTGCGAACAATAACATTTTTTATGCTTTTCTTGGCAACATTTCAACAAAGTTCTCAGATATTTCGACAAAACATGTGCTAAAATCAACACTAGTGTTTTATTTTTGCGCCCTGTATTTCTACACTACATCAATGTTTATTTTTTGTCGGTTGTGTTTTTGGTGACTGTATGCGGTGTGCCGTGTTAAACGTATCCGTTGAGTTTTGTGAAATACGACGCGAAACGCGAATGTGTTGAAACTCCCGCTAAGTAGAAATTAAAAATACAGTGAGGAGAGGAAATCGCACCGTGTTTTGTTTTTAGCACGTCGCAACTTGTCTCTGATACGGATACGGCTTATACGTTTCGTAAGTTTCCCGTTCCAAGCGCTAAAATACGTTTAAAATTTAACGCTAAACAGACTATGGTGGTAGCGGTGGTACTATTTTCGTTTGGCGAACGTTACGACATTTGAACGAAACGATGCGATGCGTGCGGATCGTAGACACACGTGATGAGGTAAAATTCATAGCAAAGCGTAATCAGCATCGAGATCAAGTGCAGTCGGCGAAACACCACTTCCTAGAGCAATCCGAATCGAGTAATTGCTAATACGCTCATTTGGTGTAGCATTATACGCTGTGATACATGCGCATCTTGTGCGGAGAAACTAATTAAATCGTGCATGCAGGTGGGACGGACATGATTATTCGTGTACGACTGTGCGGCGGTGTGGTGCACGTACTTTCGAATTATTTAAAAACATCTTCGCCACACATGTGTTTCATGTTTAGTGCCACAGGCAGTCTTTCGACTGTCTCCATACGAATTTAATGCTCTACAAAGTTTGAAAATATCGATTTACGAAATGGATTTAAAGCTAATCTCAGCCTGATAATATATAATTAATTTAGTGACGAACAAAGAAAGTGTGGACGCAATTTTGGGAATCATTAATCTATTTGGCGCGAGTGTTATCAATTTTTATCAAATTATGTTTCTAAATTTTAATGATTTATCTAAAGTGGAGTGAACGTGCAAGGTTTAAATTAAAATTGGAAACTCGATTAATCATTTTTCATTATCATTGACGAGCTATATTAATACGGATGAGACCAGTTGGAAATGAGTGAAGTAAAAATTAATGGAAACTAGAATATTGCGTTAGTGACTTTATGGTGGCAGCAGTGCGCGTAACGCGAGTTGTGCGTTGAGCAAGTGTTGTGACACTTGACTAGTGGTGCACTTGACTCATTATTGTGTCATCTGTGTCTGCGAGCGGTGTCATCGAGTATGTAAACTGGCTGGATTTCAACAGGAATGAATCCGCAAAACCAGCGTAAAATGTGCACGAATCGTCGCCGAAGAACGTAGTATTATCGGTATGTACTACAGTCTTACAGTTTACTACACGTAAAACAATGCAGCTTGCATAATTGTCGCGTAGTTGTTGCAAACATCAGATTTCTAACCTTAACCGCAAAGCTTACATTTTCGATGTGGGTGTCTAACTTGCCACTCGCTCAAACTTTCACCCGCATGATTGATAATATTGTTCGGTATTGTTTTTAGATTAAATGTTCGAGGCGCGTGTGCAAGTTGCGTGGTGCTAGGAAGCGCGAAATATCTGCAGGGAAGAGAAACATGGAGCACAAAGTGATGGATCAGGAGAAGGATGTTGATGATGCAGAGGCTGTGACACCACATTCTAATATGGTACTTGAATCACCAAAGCCCATGGCTTTTACAATAGATTTTGGGGGAGGAAAAAGTGTGGACATGCAAAGGCACAAACATCTGATCGAAAGGTATAAACATAGAAGAGGACAGTCACTATCAAAAATTGAGGATGTGCCTACAGTACCAACTCCAGCAAAAGAGCAGAGAAAGCCACAGAGTGCTAATTTGCCTAGGAAGGCTATTTCAGTTGAAGTGGAATCTCATGCAGAGGAAAAAACAGACAAAAGTAAAAATGTGAGAACAGTAAATTATAAATTAAGAGATGGACTCTCCTTACCATTGAAAAATGTGAACAGTGATCGGATGACACAATCATGTACTTTACCATGCATTGAGAGCCCAGACATTGAACTTGTGGATGTTCCAGAAGTATCAACACCTGAATTAGAGGCTTTAAGACCACCTAGTCCTTTAAAAGGCCAAACACCAGACAATGATCATTTTCTAGTTGAAGAGAATCATTGGGTGGGTGGTGGTGAGTTTGATTTTGATAAATCAGATGCTGTAAGTGATGCAGGCACATATACACTTGATGCAGATGCTTATTCTGAGGAGCAGAAAGCCAGGATGAGTATTGATAGAGAGTTTAAGATTGAAGCAGTGTCAAATATTAAGAAAGTGCATGATTATGTACACAGTCTTGCAAACATGACAAATAATCAAATGCTTGATGTGACGCTAGAATCTCATTTGGAAGAGGTGCAATCACATGCTGTAAATACATGCTATATGCATAATAATAAATTATCACCAATTGTTTCACCTACTCAAAACTTTTCGATTAATAGCGAGTTAACAGGAGGCGCTGCTCACGTAGAATCTTCAAAGACTTTTAATAAGATTATGTTTCCAAGTCCGAAGGCAAAAACGGGTATTGGCTCGGAGAAGGTGGTCGATCACGGATCAGTCATATCGGTCACTTCCAGTGGTGCGTTCCGCAGCAAAGCTGATAAAATGCATGCGCGGAAGTTAAGTTTAACAAAATCGGAGATACATGTCGAGGCCTATACTGACAACACCCATACTACAACGGAAATTCAACGCCCCATGAGAAATCTAAGCGCTAATTTGGTTTTAGTCAGCGAAAAATTACCAGATAAGCTGGACAAACAAGGTAGAGTAAACGATGAGTATTTACTAACGACGAATGGCGACGAAAGTTTACCGTTGCATGTCAGCAAGGTACTAAACTTACCGCCTCCGATTGGCGGCCCGATGTCCGGCAAGATGTCGCCTACGAAAATCCCGTCCCCGATACACAGCGTGCGTCCGCGTAGCCGCAACAGCTCAAATTCAAACTCACTGAACATAGATTTATCTGATAGCAGCATGGAGACTGAATCATACCTTAGGCCCACCGAAAAGCTTCTTAACACGCTACAGCAACGATTATCACTGGACAGCGATCCTGACAGTGAAGGCGATGGCAAATATCTCAACAACGATGCGCGAAGTTTGCTCAAGAAGCCAACACACTTGCGGCACAACTCGTTAGACGAGAAAAATCTGAAAATCTCCAACAAACTGGAGCACTTTCAGAATAAGAAGTTCATCGATCAAACGAATGTGTTAAATCAATACACGCATAACAAGGTCGTGCAATCCCCTATTCAGCACAAGATACAGAACTCTCCTAACAATAGCCCCATTCGACGTTCGAGCAGTTTCTCTACGAAGAATCAGATTAATACAAAATTTTCGAACGTGTCGAATATTCCTCAGAAGGAGACCAATATTCGGAATTCCCCCGGATTCGCTCGCAATGGTTCGATACAAAGATCGGCATCAACGGCAGCTATCCGACCAAATTTGGTACGTGTTCCTAGTAGCGAACACAAAATCGACCGGAGTCAGTACGGCGACACAGAATCTAGCTCCGAAGAGGACCTGCTGCAAAATAACCTAAAGAAGAAAGATATTACCGCGACGAGATATAACAGAGCGTTTAGTTTACGACGAGCTAGGTTGGATCATGAAGTAACGCCGCCGCCACAAATGTGTCCCAACACACCGGAAATGAGACGGAAGTTCCAACCCTCAAACGAGCGCCAGGAACGTGCGATTTCTGTGGATAGAAAGCCGGTCAAGGCGCCGGATGTGCAAAGCCGGTATTTGCAAAATTTAACGAGAACGCGCAGTCAGACGCAAGCTCAAATGCAATCGCAGGCGTTGACCAACAAAGCCGAAGCGCCTGTCGCTGCGATGAAAAGCTCACCCAAGATCGGAAACACTGCCACCAAGCCGGCGCCTAAAGTACAAGTCTTTTCACGCACGGATACAGGCAGATTTAGCATGCGGACAAACAAACCACCGATGACAAACTCACAGAAAACCATTCGCAGGGATGTACATCTAAGTAGGTCACACTTATTTAAACTTTTACTTTAGGAAACATTTACTATATACGAAAACTTAAATTTTTATTGCTGTACAGTAGTAAATGTACATGGCACTTTTGTTTTCACTACGTCATTGCAAATTTATGAAGTTCCGCAAGAACTAACTTGGAATAAACTTTACGCTCGGTTTGCAGGCAATAAAAAACCGTCAGGTCCACGGAGCAATTCCTCGCTGACCAGTAAAGAAGTCGAGTTTCAAAATTGGAAGCGTCGGAAAAGTTATGACCCTATGAAAGCGGCGGCAGAAGGCAAAAAGAAGGCGGAGGCTGCGAAACGACAAAATGTGAATCCCATGACACAATCTTACCATGAGGCCAATCAAGATGGCGATAGCTCGCCCTCACATTCGAGTTCAGTGCATCGATCACAAGTAAGTAAACAGTCATTTCAATTAACTTTCATAAATTATCAGCAGAGGAAGATCTCAATTTCTACTTAATAATACTTTGGTGTGTTTAAGTTTCAAACTTTGCTAATGAACTTTCTTGACTTGATTGCAATTTCCCGTTTCTAGTATAATAGTCGACCCACTTCGTGGTATAATACTTTATAATCGATACCGTAGGATCGATTTGTCTGAGGCAGACAAATTTGATATGCGACAGCGAAACGTATTATAAATTATTTCCATAGGCGTCGCGTCACGCAATTTCATAAATATGTAAATAAAAGATTACGTGAGTACATCGGCGTTGTGGGTATTGGAATGAAATGTAAATTTGTCGTGGGCGTTTGCGATGACTAATACTTAACAAAAGTTTATAACCACATATTTAAATATGCGCGAAAGATGCGATGATGCTTGAAGGTGTGACGGAGTGTAACATTTTATATTTGTTTTATTCATTTCTTTTAAAGGTCAAAGTCATATTGGAAGTTCCGGACATGGAAACTAAGTATGACACTGCTTAACACCGCCACAATCAAAACGTGTACGATACACATACGCACACATCATAATTAAATATTCATAATTAAGCAAAGTGCAATACTCACGCGTGTTTTGTCGCTTCATGTTCGTTTTATGTTAACGGCGAATGAAAATTCACCGGAAACACGTTTATAGGACAGCGTAAAAAGCGTGTTGTCTCTTTTATGTTTTCATGCGTTTGATTTTTATGTATTTTTGTTTCCACTGTGGTAACGTACTAATGTATTGATGTTTATAGAGTTTTCATGGTACGGCTGCATTAGAACAGTACATATCTTCGGAGGATGAAGACGAAGATCTGACCTTATCTGCCGATGAGGGATTCAGCCCGCCGACGCCGAGTCCATGCGACATGAGTCCGAATCGAACGAACCGAACGAATCTCAGATACGCGTGGAAGGATCAGTTGCATTGATATTCACGTGCACTCATCCGCATACAATTCATGCATTCGAACGATATAATATTATTATGCGCTTGATCATCATCAATTGGTAGCTAATTTATTATTCGTGTCAAACCGCATCGCACAAACATTTTAAGCTAAAAGCATTCAGTTGGGTTGCGAAAGGTGTACATAGGAAAACTGCATTCAGGCGATGCTTTCATTTTCGTGTGCAATATCGTTACGAGCAGATCATGATTCTTTCACAAGCTGTTCATAATTTACTTTCAAAAGATCAGGAACAGTAACAAAATTTCAACATAGTTCTCTATATTGTTTTAAAAATGATGAAAAGATGACGTAGGAAACCACTTTAAGTTTTAAGTGCTGTTTTACTGTGTTGCTTATGAACAGCTTCGCTATTAACCGTATCTATTATTTTATGTTATAATTATGAATATATTTAAATGAAATGAAAGTATTCGAGGGTTGCAAACTCTTCATATGTGATTTAAATGGATTATTTAAGTAAAACCATTGAATAAGTAAGTTTTCAATTAAAAACTCTTATTCTATGGTATAACTAACAAAATGAGTGTATAATTTCAAGCATTGAATGCAGGAACATTTCAATCGTGTAAATTCATAGTCACTGTCGACATCGACGTTTTCTATTACAAAATCATGTTTATTGAATTAACTATATTGGCATGTTATTCGTTTTTGATTATTTGATGAGATTCATTGGAGATTTGATTAGGTTTTATAAATTTATATAAATTGATTGCTATTAGTATTGGACTTGGAAGTTTAATAACTAATTTTAATTAAATCGCACGCATGTGTATTTTATTTAAATGATACCAAAAAACGATTTTGTAATATTGTACATTTTCATTATGATGAAATTATGTTACACCTGTTTAAATTATAAAATGCAAACAAGGAGTATTTTCTTTTATGCCAATAGCATTTATTAATTATGCTATTATTTAGTAAGCAGAGCATTGTCGAGTTTGTTATGGCTGCGCACGGTTTATAGGTATTTTTGGTTGCATACGTTAAAGTAACGAAATTGCATTTGACAATAGTAACAGCGACACACCTTCGCGCTGCGCATACTTCAAACACTATCAGTTTATCTTTTTTGTCGGTGTTGTATCCCAATTCCATAATTTATCATTATTTGTGACATCGTGGTGAACACACTTCACGTGTAAATAGTGTACATGCCGAAGGAGACAGATCCATGTAAAAAATACGCGTGTGCAATCCAACGTTGCTTGAGCGGTACGTATATTCTCTAACCTTTCTGAAAATCAACCCAACTCACGTTATGTAATAGAAATGCATTATTGCAGCAAATAATTTCCAAGAACCTTCATGTCAGGAAGCAATCAAGGATATGAAAGATTGCTGCATGAAGTGGAAACATAAGAGTTACGTGTGCGACGGTTTCAAGAGTTTGTTTGAACAACTGGACCAAGAAGCTGCACTTGGAAGTGCTCACAAGAAATCATCCTAAATACTGTCATGCAACAAAACGGCAGACCCAACGCCCAGCAGTTCAAGTATAATCAGCAAAATCAGCAGCCCTTCCGGAATTCTTGGATATATCGTTACCCGCGTGTCTTTGTGACTGTTACCACTACTACTGCCCTGTGCATATTCTTCAGCCGGCCGATCTACGATATATTTTTCCGCAAGGACATTCCCGACTATAAGGAATTACTCAAACATCACAAATCGCGTTTCCACTCTTAAATAAATGGAAGCAGTGCATAAGGCTAGGAATAGATTTAGGCAGTATCCTGCTGTTTTGGCAAAATGCTCAAAGGAAGGCAGTCTCTATGCAAAATGTGTACTTAAAAAAGATTCAGTTGCATTGAATGATTGTGCCAATGAGTTTCAGCAGTTTAAGATCTGTCTGCAAAAAACTGCAGTTAGTATGAAAACTAGATTGTAAAGCTTGTTAGGAGAATGAGTTGTTTATAAAGAAAGTTGAACATATTTGATAAAGGTAATAAGTCATTGAAGAGACACAAAGATGTGGAGACAAGTGAAAAATTTAAACTTTTATTGGCATATTGTCCTGGCCGCCATCTTGCGAGCGATATTCGTTTGCTACGGCATATACCATGACGAACATTTTACGGTTTCATACACGGACATTGATTACAAAGTATTTACGGACGCGGCTCGTCATGTTTTAGCAAATGAGTCCCCATACGCCAGACACACCTACCGCTACTCACCTTTGATGGCAATTATTTTAACACCGAATATTCTATTGCATCATGCGTTCGGTAAAATACTGTTTTCCCTGGTCGATTTGCTAGTCGCGGTTCTCATTCGTGCAATTGTTCTGAAGGTCATTGCACAACATGAGGTATTTAAAAGCACTAATACTAATAATGGACAGATCACAGAAAAAGGTGATGGTAATAACAAAACAGAACTTAACAAGCCTTCACTGAAAAGCATCCGGAACCGAAGTCGAAAGAGCAAGCATGAAAAATATGACAAAAAGTTTATTTATAAGTTCAAGAGCGATAACGAAGTTCAAGCTGACGTGGCAGCCATGTTGTGGTTGTATAATCCATTAACAATTGCCATCGCTACCAGAGGCAGTTGTGACTCCATGGCAGGACTTTTCGTTCTTCTATCATTATATTTGCTTCAATGCAAGAAGAAGTACTTCTCCGCAGGATTAGTGCACGGAATTTCGGTACATTTTAGGCTGTATCCGATTATATACAGTCTTGCAATGTTCATGTACCTTAGTAAATATTCTTACTACACAACGAATAGGTTTACATATGCAAAAAATCAAGCACGTCTGCTCCAGATTCAAAATCAGCAGAATGGCAATACTAACAATGGAAAGAAGTCGAAGAAGGAACTGAAAAACGCCGAAAACCGCATGATGCAGCAGAAACAAGACAAAACTGTCGCGCAATTCAATGAAGGGCCATTAATCATCGACCAACGCAAGACTATATTCAAATTGGTGTATTTGATGCATCTATGGCCGAATCTTGACCAGTTACGATTGGTTTTTGGTTGCCTTCTTTCTCTGGGCATCGTGACTGGTATTTTCTACTATCTTTACGGCTACACTTTCCTTTTTGAAACATACATTTATCACCTAATTCGCACAGACACCAGACACAACTTTTCGTTATTTTTCTACCTGCAATACCTAACTGCTGGTGTGAAAAATATCGGTATGTGGCAGAAGGTGCTAATCGGTTTGCCGCAGCTAGTGCTCCTATTGGTGTTCTCTGTACGCTACGGTTTGAACAAATTCTCGCTGAATTTCTCCATCCTGACGCAGACGATCACGATGGTCACCTACAATACGGTGCTCACTTCGCAATACTTCGTTTGGATTATGGTCGTGCTACCGCTAAGCGTGTGGCAGATCAAAATGTCGCTGAAGATGGCAGCGTTTTTTGTGCTGATTTGGTTCGCAGCACAAGCGGCATGGCTGATGCCAGCTTATTTCCTAGAGTTTCATGGTCAAAATACGTTCCTGTTCATTTGGCTGCAAAGCGTTTCGTTTTTCTGCGCCAATGTAGCTATTCTCGGCAGACTGATTATGAATTACATGCCAGCGCGCAAGGAAAAAGTTAAAAATAATTAAAATATGTAGAAAGTTAACAGTTACCTCTAAAGTATGAGAATAGTTAGAATTTAAAATTTTGTGTGATTTTTAAGGGGTAGGTAATTTGTAAGAGTTTGTCACGTTTGTATCACCACAAAAATAAATACCAAATTGAAACTCGTAAGTTGCTGCTAGTTGCGTTTGAATTTTCCGCGGGTGAATTTTATTCCTGCGTACATGCTCGAGTATGATCGGCTAACTTCGTATGTTACATTCACCGCGCAATTTTGTTTTCTGTAAATTAATTTATTTTTATTATAACTGTTAAATAGCATTTTCTTTGATCATCTTCACGATGTATCATTTGTTTAATATTTTATTCTGCGTCGTACGTAGTTTTAATAATGTTTTATTAACAGTTTCGTGAAAAGACAGTAAATGTCAGTGTTTCGAACGGACATGCGCAAAGCGCACAAAATGAGGTCATAATCATGGTGGTGTTGAAACGGTACGGTCGTCTTCTCGTAGTTGTTGTTACAAAATAGTGAAATAGTGATTGATCGCGTTCAACATCAAAGATTAGCTCGTGTGCACCAGCAGCCAAAATGATTCTCGCACACGATTAACAATAAAAGGATATTCTCCTAAACTGTGCGGGTAGTGCGTATTGCAAACATTCTGCGCCTTGACGTCGATTAGCAGGAAACGAGAGGGGAAAAAAAGGTGAGCAAAACCATATGTCTGATAATTCCAGCAGGTAGGAACGGGTGCAACTAGTTTACCGCTGTTTATTTATACCCAACGAAGGTCAACCCCGTGTGTTTGTATCGAAATCGTATTAATTCGTGTCATTTTATATTGATATCCGGTGCGTAGATAATTCGCTGGCAAATCGCGAGCGCACAGCGAACTCAAGAAACCAATTGGACTTTCTGTTCGCACCAGGAAAGACTGCTGTTGCTCGTAAATCATAAATTGATTAGTTGTGTTATACGTCATGATTAGTCCGTGTTGATTGAAAAAACCTGAGTGTGTTTATTGACTTAAATAGAAAGGTCAGTGTTACTTTTGTTTTATATTACATGTTTAACAATGATGTTAATATTGTGTTTTCATTGAAACACGGAAGTATATAATTATTTAGCGTCTAATTTAAATTTACGTAGAATTGTGTATTAAAGTAATGTTTGACGCAATGAATCATCACGTAGAAATGTAAAATAATGATAAAAGTTATTGTTCTACAGAAATCAGCAATATTTTATCAGTGATATTTCCAGATATGAGGGAATTTGAGATATGCGGTGTCGTTCTCGAGATTTTCAAATTAAGAAATGCGACAAAAATTGTTTGAACGACCTTCTGCGCAGACGGTTTTATCGCCTCAGGTTTTTGCACTCGCGAGATATTTTGTAAGCCATACGGCGGCGCAAGACGTGCGAAAGGCGTAAATAAAAGCTTCGCGACCATCATTCGTTACCATCATCGTTGAAAAATATTACGGTACTCGTGAGAAACACCGCGCACGACGTGCTCAGGCATTGCTTTGTCGTGCAATCCGTTCGTGTTCTACCGTTCGTCTTTGTACAATGTGTACTTGTTATTACGGCTTTCAAATTCAGTGGAAACAAAACACTACGACAGACAAAAGATAGAACGAACAAATGAGGCGATTGTTATACGTATTGCAAACATTTATATTTAGACGTTGGAGACGACAGATTTGCATCATTAATTCTTTATAGTTTCGCAATGATCTACAATATTTCACAGCTAAAATTACACTTGAAGATCAAATCAATTAAAATTAATTGCGTTAAATCAAAATCCTTCACGAGTAAAACTAGGTTGAATTTTTTAATATATTTTTCACGCCCTGTATAATATAAGTATGTAAATTTTGTGACGGAGTGACGAAGTCATGGTCATTTTTGCAATATTGTTTCAACAATGTCAACCTTGTTTGTGAATACGATAATTTTCGCTAATTTTGCATTGAAAGTCGAAATATCACTGATTTTTTTATTCACTGGCATCGCTTATCAGTTGCGTTGTTTTTGTTGTTTCAGTTTACGTACGCGCAGAAAATGAGTTCGACGACAGCAGCATCGTCGAGTGCGGCCAGCGGTGGCAGTAGTGCAGCGACGATGGCGATAAGCCTCAACAACACCATCCTCAGCACGGCGGCAACAGCCGTCCGCGCCGCTCCGTCCGAGCCCATCTTTTTGCAGACGAAGACGGCGCAATGGATTGCCGGTTGCTTCGTCTGGGCGGCGCTCTTTCTGACATGCCAGCAGGTATGTAACTCATTCATTGCTTTCACGCAATAAAACGTAACACATTTCGAACATAATACATACTTTAGAATAAATAATTCATATGTATGCATATTTATTCATGCTTAGGAGTGTAATCAGTTCAAGTTGCATGTTATTAACAAACATTTACAGTTTCGCGGAAATAAACTGAGTTGCGTTTGCGTTACTAGGAACATCTTGAAATGTTCCAACTAGGATTTTATCTTTGATGAGAAAGCAAGTTAAATAGTGAGCAAAGAGCGGAAAAGGTCAACAACTCCATCATTGGATAATTCACTTTCGATTTCTCGTTCCGTTTGCGCGCTCGGTTGAAGAAACTGGCTACATGCTACAAACATTTTTTATTCTACGAGTGCATTTGTTTAAGACATTCTTTTTTTATTTCTTTCCTGTATAGATTTATCATCATCTGCGGTGGTACACAAATCCGGCCGAGCAACGTTGGATAGTTAGGATTTTATTCATCGTTCCCATTTATGGTACATATTCGTGGATAAGTTTGCTTTTCTTCAATTCGGAGAGCTACTATGTGTACTTCTTCACTGTGCGCGACTGTTATGAAGGTACGCAAAGGTCTATTACTTATTTCGTGGAATTTATACAGGAAATGTGGTCAAAATATTTAATAACCACAAAAATAACTGAGTTTTATTAATTTGTTTTGGAGTTTTAATCGAATATCGAAGTTATCTTTTGACCTAGTTTAAATCTAAATTTATACTCTTTTCAGCCTTTGTAATTTATAACTTCCTGTCGTTATGCTACGAGTATCTTGGCGGTGAGGGCAACATTATGTCCGAGATCCGCGGCAAACCAATCAAATCCAGCTGCATTTACGGAACCTGCTGTCTCACTGGAAAGACATACACTATCGGGTTTCTGCGTTTTTGTAAACAAGCCACACTGCAATTCTGTCTGGTGAAACCACTGATGGCGTTCGTCATTATTTTCCTGCAAGCATTCGGTCATTATCATGATGGCGATTGGAGGTATACATGACAGCTGCTCTTTTAAGTAGTTAATAAGCACAATTGATCATTGCACTCTAATTTTACGATTGCAATATTGTAAATTAATATATTTCTTTCAGTCCGGATGGTGGTTACCTGTATACGACCATCATTTACAATATTTCTATATCGCTGGCGCTTTATGGCTTATTCCTGTTCTACTTTGCCACGCGAGATTTACTGACGCCATTTGAGCCAGTCCTGAAGTTCTGCACCGTAAAATCGGTCATTTTCTTATCTTTTTGGCAAGGTAAGTTCAATAACAATGAAATAAAATACCCGCAGAATCATAAACTGATATAACCATCACACAACCCGATAAATTTCAATTTTGTGATCTTCTTTACTCTGAAATATGTATAAGTTAAGACTCTGGAGAACCGTAGACACTTTCTAGGGGCGTTATTTTGATTCCATTTTTGAGTTCAGAGTTTAGGCACGTTTCCTAAGCCTTCTGCTCATGCAAAATTTAATAGCAAGACATAAATTCGTGTTACGCTTGAATTGCACTTTTCTTATGATCCCTCTGCGCTGCAGGTAGAGCCGAACGTGCATGAGCACATGTTTAATAATAAAAACGTATATTTCTAGGCGTCGGCCTTGCAATGCTTGAAAAGGCTGAGGTGATCTCGCCGATCATCGATAGCAACGGCACTAGGACATCAGCCGGTACCGTCTCAGCCGGCTATCAGAATTTCCTTATTTGCATCGAAATGTTTGCGGCGGCCGTCGCCCTGCGCTACGCCTTCCCGCATCGGGTGTACGTCCAGGGATGCATTACGGATTCACAGGGTAGATCCGTTACGATGCAGAGCATTTCGAGTAGCTTAAAGGTAGAATTTCATTACTTATTTAACCACCGAGGGCTAAATATTAATGTTTTGTGTCCGGCAGGAAACAATGAATCCTAGAGACATTATGACAGACGCCATTCACAACTTCCATCCACAATATCAGCAGTATACACAATACAGTTCGGGTAAGTTGATTGTTAACATGTCGTGTATCTGTTGTTCAGTGTGTATTGCGTACCTTTCGTATATGTCACAACTCGTTTTATAATTTATAATTTAATTTTTGTAACTTTTGAAATTTATTGGTTGTTTCTGCATGCACGTTTGTATGTATATTTTCAGAGGTCGTGTCGCAACTGCCATATGAGAAGTTGTAATTGAACCGCGCACGCAGTCGTGTAAACATCATTTGCGAATTCATTGCGAAGAATCCTCGTCCGCATGTTGCATGCCGCTAAATGAGCCTTCGCCTTCTCAAAGCCTACGGCTGGATGCTTGCATACATCACTCACAATTACATTCAGCATTAAGTAACGATGGCGCAGCAACGCTAAATGGATAAACTATCGAAAATCATTAATAATTTATTGATTTATGTAACTATATTATTGTTCTATATGGTACGACCCGTTTGAAACTTTTCTCGGCAACGAATTTTTTTAATTTTTATAGATTTGAACAATGCTTAGTCACAAAGATACTTAAATATATTGCATAATATAGTTACAATAATTTTGACTAGTTAGTCTTAGAACAGACAGTCTACTACTTAGTAATTTATGTGATAATAGAACGATGAAGTACTTAAGTGCCTCTATACATTACTGCAATTGAATAGGTATAAATTTGGCATCACGTAATTTTCTATTTTGTTTAGCTGATTATTTTTATTTGTACATATTATAATGTTATTAACAGAAAGGTAAACATAAAAACAACGCGCAATACTTATATCTAGCAGGACCTATATTCAGATTGCATTTATAACGTGAACGCAATGAATGTATTATTTGTAGTGAACTGTAAATATTTTGAATTGAGTATATGCAGTTGTGAATGGAAAAATAAATCTCGTAAAAGTTACGCTGTGTAAACTAGTTGAAACTTCAAATAAGTTGAAATTAGAATAGCAGCAGAATTTCCATTTGCAATGCGTATGCATTATGCGTGTTGTATTTATATATTTGAACGTGTTGTATTCTGTTTATTTTTTGGCATTTGGTACTAGCAATTTTGGATTGTACTTATAAATTAGTATGACAAAAAACATTAAAAGGAATGCATGGCAGTCTTTTATGATTTTTATTGCGCTTTCTAAATGTTTATTACAATTGTTGTGAACAGTATACAGTTAAGAATGTCATAATTATATAAAATACAAACTATTTGCGTGAAAGTATATAAAAATTTCAATGGAACATGTTATCGCACAAGGTACAATGTCTAGATGGAATTTCTAGATGATTTAGTATCTTCCTGATTGTATTTCAGGTGGGAAGAATTCGCGCGGGCAGCGAATATCTACTTTTGATCCTGACGACCCGATGAGTCCCACTGGCGGCGTCGTACCTGCGACATACAACAGCGTAGACACATCCAGCATGACGCCACTTCCGAGCAAAGTGTCCACTATCTCGCCGGCCAATTACACGGAGAAGACGATGCTTCTTAGCTCTGATGAAGAGAATTAATCGAAACGCATTCACATTAGCGCAAGCCTACTACGATTTCATGACAAAATTATATTATATTAACAAATATTAACAATTAACTAAACCCGTAAATTATTATCAATGCAGTAATCACCACAAGACTGCCGTGCTAATTAATCAACTACTATAAGTATAAGTGGAGTGATGAAATGCATGAACAAAATCTAAATACGTGTACATTTACCTCTATACAAGTTGTTTCATGTTATATTTATCATTTTCTTGTTTTATTGAAAAGATATTGACGGATGCTATTAGATCGGCAAATTATTTATCATAATTAATCGAGAAATATTTTTCTACAGATAGTTTATATATTCACACATTCCAATCCATTGTACTGATGCTTTCTTATGATTTCCATGATGTTTGTTTGTTAGTTGTACTTAATTTTGGAGAGACAGGTATAATTTTGTTGAAAGCATACATATATTTGTTAATTTTTAAATTGTAATGAAGTACGTATTATCAAATATTCCTATTTTAATGGTGACGATGTGATAGTGTAGTTTAATTATGAATGGATCATTGTGCAATTGTAAAAATCAAAACGATATATTGTTGTACCTGTATCAATTTCAGTTAAAGTAACTACTTGTTGGTTTCCAATTAAATTTTGTATTTTAGCCAAAGATTATCGATAAGTATTGCAATCAGTAGATATTTTTTTATATGATGTATGATTGCTTTAACGTTTAAATTAAATATACAAATTACCGTTTATTTCCGTAAAATAGTAGTTTATCCTCGACGACCTAGAAACATATGGAAAATTAGACATGATTGCCCTGTGAATTAAATAAATTTGCTATATGTTCAGAAGCAAGTTTCATAAGTCTACCCTATTGTACTATTTACTCATCGGGTACAATAGAAATGGTATCAAGTAATAACTAAATATAGTAAATATTCAATGCATACTAAAATTGTTTTCAATTTTGACACTACTACACGGACAATACCAGTGTCTATAAAGAAACAAGTTTTTCTTATCTCATCTAACTGGTGTGCGTTCCCCACGTTGTCAGCACACGCGGTTGGTTTGCGTACGGTGTTAGTCTCATTCTTACCGTCAGCTAATCTGAACGCGCAAGTCTTCGCGGCTCCTTAAGTTAATCCGTTTTTCTTTGCTTTATTACGTTTTGTTCACAATTACCTTGTGCGATAGTGCAGAAGTGCAGGAGTGCAGGAGATGTTCGGTATGTGATAAACGCGGATTGAACATACGCAAAGTTACTTCTGCATGAGTGATGTACCGTTAGCCGTCGGATACTCCTCGATAAATTTCACCAGTGAAATGCCGCTAACAACTTCAACAATTATATCAAGGTATGTTCTCGCATTTCTTTAACTATAGAAGAAATTAATAATACGTACTTTTTTTAAATCACATAGGTTGTATCATATATTACTCTTTGCATTTTTCAATTGATTGCTTTACTTTAATGCACATATAGAATTTTTCGTAGGTGAAGGATATGCCATTTGATCCTCTCTATCTCTTGTAGTTTATAAGATATCGCTAACGAACATAATTGCTCATATTTCTAATTTAACTAGCCTATCTTATAGAAAATTTTTCGTTGGTTAAGGATATGCCATTCGATCCTCTCTATCTCTTTTAGTTTAGAAAATATCGCTAACGAACAAACCCAGCTTAACTCATCTGATAGGCATTATTAAATTGTTTATGACTGGCATTTTCATACAACAACACAGTTGTTGCATATTTGATAAAATGTGTTTTAAACCTGCCATTACTAGATAGTCGTTTAGATGGCACTACGATGCACGTTTTCGCGTTAAATATTGCTTGTCGGTGGTAGTGAGTGCACATCGTGTCCGTGTGGGATCACGCGATTTCGCGCAAGAGATAAGTTTGTTTACCTGCAGGTATCGAATCTTTATTTCGTGGAATCAAAACACACCGTTGCTGTTTGTTATATTAGTATCGTAAATTTAAGCAAATATTCTTCAATTCTTTCATGAATATAACGAACAGTTTTATATTAATTTTAATATTTTATTATAAAAATCAGCAAGAATGCAAAACATTTTTATTATCAGCAGATCACTGAAGCACATATCACTTAAATATTTTATGTAAAATCTGGCACTCTGTCAGCATAATAAATCAGAATTACACAAATCGAATTTTAATTTTTCATTACTTTTTAATAATCTAAATTTTGAAACTACTGTATCATTCATAGATGGCCCTAGCATTACCCAAAAATCGTAAAATAGATTTGTATTGTTCATTTCTATATTTATCGGCAAGCGCGAGCATTCGACACGAGAATTGTGTTTGTTTTGAACACAATTCACACTTTCTTATCGCATTGCCGTGTGTCGTCGTTGCCATCCCCTCACGCCGCATGTTACTGCATCATACTTTAAAACAGCATAGATGTTTATTTGTCTCCGCTGTTTTAATATAATATTAGGTACATGAATATAATGTTTTCTTTTCTTATTTACAGTATATGCCGTGCCTTAGAGTCCGATGTGATCTGCATTGGTAAGTTTATAATTCAATTATATTTTTCATTTTAATTCCTGCGTCGTACATAAGTTTTTATTTACGTAGTTTTTTTTGCGTTCCACCGCGTGTTACAAAGACACAAGACAGTCGCGTTTCAATCCGCTACTCTCTTTTAGTATCTCTTTTAGTTTTCGATATATTCACAATCGGAGAAAACTCTCAAAGAAATGAAAAAAATCGCTTTTTTGCACTTTTATACACGATTTTAGAACCTTTACACTCCGTATTTTAATTATTTTCTTATCTTATCTCATAGAGACTTTTCCAAACTTTCATAATCTTCGATCGACTGGCCGCTAGCGCTTTTAGTTTAAAAGATATGTCCTAAATTATCAAAAAGCAGATATCGCACCCCCCTTGCCATTTTTTCGCAATGGGAATCACTTCTACCGTTACTCCCTACGGTGCCCTGAACTCGAGTCACCTTAACCGCTAGCCTCGTACTGTGCCCTGAACACGAGTCACTGTTGCCGCTAGCCTCGTACGGTGCCCTGAACACAAGTCACTTTTACCGCCAGCCTCGTAAGGTGCCCTAAACACGAGTCACTGTTAGCGCTAGCCTCGTACGGTACTCTATTTATTGCAAGAAAATTCCGTAACGCGAGGTTTAATGATAGTTGTGTGTATACGCACTTGTACTCCTTGCGCTAGGAATTGTAGTTTTTTTTAGCATAACACGCGAACGCGGTCTTAAACTAAGTTCGGAATAATTTTCCCAGATGCATAATTTAATTCTTTATTTCCCTGTATCAAAATTTATTGCGAGAAAATTCCGTAACGCGAGTTATATTGAAAGTTGTGTGTATACGCGCTAGTACTCGTTGCGCTAAGAATTATAGTTTTTTTGATATAACACGCGAACGCGGTATCACAATAAGTTTGAAATAATTTTCCCAGATGCAGAATTCAATTTTGTATCTGCCTGTATCGAAATTTATTGCGAGAAAATTCCGTAACGCTAGTTATATTTAAAGTTGTGTGTGTGCGCCGCAGTACTCGTTGCGTTGGGAATTGTAGTTTTTTGACATAACACGCAATCGCGGGGTCGCAATAAGTTCGGAATAATAATCCCAGATGCAGAATTAAATTATGTATCTCCCTGTATCGAAATTTTCACTGACACAAAAGAAAACATATACAGGGTCGAATGAAAACGAGCGGCGTTTGTAGTGTTCAGAGTTTTTTTGTTTGCACTTTAAATTTTTCTTTTGTAACACCCTGTTTATTTGTTTCCATTTTCAATCACCTAGTAAATTGGCTATTTACTAATTTCATTATTCCGGTAGAACTTTATGAAGTAGTACTTGCTGGCATGCAGGTCGTATTTCAGTCCTGTTTCAATATGGCGACATGAATTCTGTTGACTTGTAAAATCTAAACTTGTATTCTATTGTTAATAAAGAAATGTTAAGAAATATTATGTCTTATGCTTTGAATGTACCCCTTCTATAATTTCAGGTAGAGGTCTCTAAGAGAGTTCCCTCTCTCAGGGGTTGATCCCCTCTATAAAAATTGTTAAGGTAACCTGTATGATTTGTGCACTCCTTCTTTCATTTCAGCTACAGGTCAGAACTTGTAAGAATATTTTTAAGTGGCACCTCTCCTGAGGCGACTTAAAACTTAGAAATATTTGAACAAGACCTTATAAGGATTGTCCTTATAAGGAGTTCTCCCTCTCTGGGGGTGATCCCCCACCATAAAAATTGTTGATATGCCTGATAATTTCGGGGATGAAGCGCAGAGACATCGTAGCTGTAGGATGGGCCGGGAGCAATGGACGCATCGAAGCAGTGGGCGATCGACCAGAGCGCCGGAGGCGCTCTGGGAGATCGACCGTAGACTGTCTTATAACGACACGTGCCAAAAAATTTAAAAATCTGATCCTCCCCTGTTCTCTTTCTTCTATCTCCTCCTCTTCTCTACTCTACTCCTCTGTTGTTCTCTTCTTTCTATCTTCTCCTATTCTCTACTACTCTCATTCTTCTATTTCTCTGTTCTCCCGTTCTCCACTTCTCTTATTTTGCCTCCACTTGAATTTCAATTTCTCTTATATTTCGTTGCAATTCATATATGCAACCCAAATTTCACCTGATATTTTTATATTTGAGAAAAATGCCTTCTATACCTGGGATTCGATCCGTGTCTGCTAGCATGCCAGCAGGTGCACGTCTCCACTCGACCACCGAGTGTTTTTATTATTGTTATTTGATTCTTCTATTTATGTTTCTACTTTAATCATGTTTTTAAAAACAACAACACAATTCAAGCAACAGTTAGTTATGTTATACCCGTTGCACACACATAAAACTTATAAGCCATATATTATTTAAAACTGAAAACAACAAAGAGGATACCACAAAGAAATATGAATGAGAATATTATTATTGGTTTTATTGACAACATTTACAAATACATACATACATTTTTTTAAGGAAAAACATTGGCGACTATTAAATCCTATGGAAAATATACCTTAAAACATGCGCAACTGTAAACCATCTGCAATGAATATTACAAACTGCAAGGCTCTTCAATTCGGACACTTCTTCACTGTGTACATACGTTGCCTATTTATACGAATTAAATACAAATCCATGATATTCTTCTGTGTATTCTTCTATTTATATGCGAAAAATAATCACCGACGGCCGACGGAAATGCGCATATTATCTGGCAAAATTCCAATAAATCCTAGTATTATAGTCGATTGTTTATTGAATATAGATCAATTACGATCTGCTAAAACCAAACCAGTCGCGAAGAACGCTCACGATTCATTTAGTATCCGGAATGGAGCTGCGTACGACTGCACGCGGCTTCATCGGCCGGCGGAGTACACACGCGCACATGGTGAGGTCTCGTAATTCTGGAGTCCACTCTCTACTCACGATAAATCATTTAGTCAGTAGTAGAGGGCAATCGATAACTAAACGATTGTAATGCTTATACCGAGTTAAAATCTTCAGAAATGCAAGTCGCGATGAAGATAAAGAAACATGCGCACACCGTACAATAGTAAATATGTGCTTTATCTCACGTTTGACTATTGTAATGGCACATACAGATACACCACAATAACTGGCAGGACCTAGTGTAATTACCTATAATTGATTAATCGTACTTAACGCGATTTAACGAAACAAAACTACAGAAACATGACAAGCCCCGAAGCATGCACGCGGACCAACTGACGATAAGAGATTTAAACAAACAGGTTGTACCAGCCGATGCTTACTTTAGCGGAGGGGATCGCTGCGACGGCACACACAAACGACCAAGGAGGTTCATAAAGAAATATGCATACTAATATATAACACTAATTTGTATTTTATTAAAAATCATACAATCACAAACTTTTAGTTTTATGTTGTCAACATATTCACTTATATCAAGTTTAAATGATAGTACTAAGAATAAAGCTTTATGAATATGTAGGTGACCTAAGTGACACACTTTATTGTTTCTGCGTTAATATCCTTTTGTACGAAAAACAAACATGGTTTCTATGCATGACAAAATAAACAATTGAATTGTTTTGAACCATAAATCCGATAGCAATTTGTCGTCGTCGTAAGATATTCGAGGGCTAACCAGGGCCGTCGCAAGCCCCGGCAATCGTTAATTTTTTGGTAATTTTTTTTGTGTTTGCGATTTAATAGCGATCAGCCGGGCCCCGTGGAATTTACCCCAGTTGTCCCCCCGTCTCATCGGTCCTGAGGCTAACGACTTTCACTCACGCACAAGGATAATCATCAATTCTGGATTCTTCTCCCAGTAAATCATTAGCTATGTACCATATACGAATGTTATTACTGAATGTCGTCGATGGCTAACCGATTTTAATGCCACTATGAAATTAAAATCTCAAGAAACGCGAAAATATCAGCATGAATCGCACGACAAAACACGTGCTCACCGCACAACACGCACAGCCGACTAAACCACAAAATGTGCATATACCACTACATAGGTACTAGTCAATAGTTCCTAATTCTGGAGCTTGTATGGGTTCGTACAATTTAACAACACACAAATGGCCAAATATGACAAATTTAGTCCATTAGTTTTAAACTAAATACAAAAGTAAACTTTTAATCAAGTTTTTGACACAATTAAATATGAAACATTATACTATTGTTGCTTTATATCATTCTAATAATTATTAAACAACAATCATAAACTGTGTGCATTGAAAGTTTATTAAATCCTGACGCATTGTATTTGTATCCTTAACTTCTGTTACAATTTACAATTTTCGTATACTTCACAATTAGACAACAGATTTCATTCAGACCTAGATACGTGTCTTTTGGGTCTTTATACACACACCATTCAAAAATTTGGCTGTAAGTGAAATACTTTTTAAAAATGAAAATTACACACGCAAATTTATAACATCCGATGTAATGCAACAGCCAGACTTGTGACAGAATTTCAGCGACTCAAAAGTTAACGTCAGTCTCGTCCACTGTTACTGCAGTTATTCGCACTCCTCACGATGGCACACCAATTGAGACAAGAACTCCACAAGAGTACGAGTTGGTCTACCTGCCATACCTTCCCGCAAATAAGGATAATCCTTACCATCCGTCCACATCACACCAAACGTGTCCATGTGTAACCAATCTCCGCACGGCACAAACTCGTGTAGGAAGGCGGCTACCTTACAGGCGCCGCCATTATAGCGTCCGCGCCCAATGGTTTTCACTTCCACATTGTGGAAGCGCGAGACCAGTTTAGTGTAGTGATTCCACAGAGGGAACCGCCACACACGGTCACCGGTGTGCATAGAGGCAGCAAGCATGTATTCCCATAGCGCCTCCGAATTACTGAATACTCCACTGGCGGCGTCGCCCAATGCGCGCTCCATATCATACGTCATTGTACCGACGTCCACAATAAATCGGGGCCAGAAGTTCTGCGCATATACAAGCGCATCGGCCATCATAATACGTCCCGCGCAGTCTGTGCTTTCAATTTCAATCGACTTGTTGTTCATCGCTTTGACGATGTCACCAGGTCGCATTGCCGCACAACCTGGCATATTTTCGCACAGTGGAATGAGACCGCGAATGTTCAGAGGCAGCTGGAGTCCGGCCACCGCACGACATGCGGCCACGACGGCCGCGGCACCACCCATGTCTCCTCGCATTTGTTTTTGGTTTTTACATCGCTTGATGCACAAGCCTCCGCTGTTGTAAGTAACACCTTTACCAATAAGTACTACAGGTCGCTCATCCTTCGAGGCCCCGTAGTACGACAGCTCCAAAAAGATGGGCGGCTCACAAGAGCCCTGGCCAGCGGCAAGGAAAGCATTCATATTTTGAGTCTCAGCCCAACCACGCACCTTCACCTCAACGTTCACGCCTGCCTTACAAAGGACCTCAACGGCATTTTGAGCAAATGAGGTGGGCGTCATGAGATTGGCAGAAGTATCCATGAGCTGTCGGGACAAATTTTGGGCAGCGGCCTTTTGCAAACCGATCTGCCACCCAGTCCAGTCACAATCGTCATACAATTCCAACTGAGGGATGTGGATTTGATGTTTTTTATTCTTCTTTTCTTGGTACAGCCATACGCCCAAAGCGGATCCTTCTGCGGAAGATTCAGAGTGACCAAAGCTCTCAATGAACACCTTGAATGCGTTATGTCGCTGGCACTCTTTGCAACCAATGGCAGCAGCAACGCGAATCGCTTCCTTGCCCTCATCCATTTGTTCGAAAACATCGTAACCCTGGCATTCCTTCCCCAGTCCCACCAGAACAACGTAGTGGTGCTCAGGTTCCAGATCATAGAACGTGCGGAAGTCGCCCAGTTTCGGGGGCGAACCAGAGGCTTTAACCAGCTCCATTAACCGGTTACAGACATGTTTGTTATACTTATCCCCGGTGGGGGTAAGGCGTCCTGGATGATGGCGATCGTCCGGGTCGGTGTAGATTCCCAGCACCAGCCCCTTGCCATGGTCGTCTCTGCAGGTTTCTTCCGCCAAATTTGCTTTGCTTGCCAGACATCTCATCAATATTCCATTGGTAATGCTTTTACTTATGCTTCGGTTCAAAACTCGCAGAGCCATCTTACAATTTTCTTATTTTTGTACTTGCAATTTTTCTACATACTCACAATTTAAAACATAATTTTTGGAAATGCCTTGCTTGTCCCAAAAAAAATTACCAATTAGTACTGACGTGATGTTTACATAAGTATTTTGTCTAGCAATTAGATTTGTTTTCCATAATATGTGATTGGTCAAAGGCTACGCGACTTGTTAGGAAAAACATTTCGTCCAATCCGAAAGCTTTTTTCAAATATAAACTTGGCCATGGATGTTTTACCAGTAGCGCCACTCGCGTGATAGTTGCTAATCACTGTTGCGATTGTTTACCGCCGCCAGCAACGCTCACTTCCTTCCTTTTTTTCCTCGCACCGATGTTTCTGACAATTCCTGTCAAATCAATGTGTTTTATTAATGTTTTCTAAGCTGATTTATTGAGACGAAACATGTTTAAACGAAGCAATTTTATTGCTAAATACCGAGTTTACGCAAAAACTTTAAAGACTTTGCAGGTAAAAAGTCTCAATTCTGTTATAAAATCAATAAATGCGCCGACTTATTGGTTATGTTCCGTTATTTAATGCTAAATTAAGCAAGAAATGTTAATAAATGAATGATTTTAGTATAGAAAAGTTTTTTTTACGTTTTAGAACAAAGCGACGTCAGAATGTAGTACATCTCTTGGAAATAAATATGAAAAGCTAAATGATTCACTTAAAGTAAGTTAGAATGTAAATAAATTTTCATTTCTTTTTTAACTTTGTCATCTGTAGACTGTTATAGAAAATAGTCAAAATGTAGCCAGACAAAGTAAAGTATTAAGTATAGTTCACAATAAAATCAGTGAAAATGTGAACAAATCAAAGGTAACTAATTCTAAAAAATAACTGGAAGTTTTAAGTATAATAACAATACATTTTTTAGGCAAGATGTGCAAACTTATCACAAACTCTGAAAGGCAACAGGTTTTTAAACCCAAGACTACTTTATGCTGCAGCATTTATTAAATCTGATCCAGTCACAATCTCAGGTTACTCACAACATGATTATGATATACTAAAACAGCTTGGAATTATTGTTGAAGATACTAATGCAAATTTAAATACCTCTGGTGATGTGAATGTCACAACTTCTAACACTACACTTGATAGTTCTGAAAGAATGCATAATGATGTACCTGCTGGTGATAGTTCTTATGAAAATGCTTCTGCTTTTAATGTTAATGTGCCACCCTCCCTTTATGATTCGCAAAATAACTATTCATCGATTTTCGATAACATGCCTGAGGAGCGCAACGACCTATACACTGTGCTCTCTAACACATTCAGTTTCACTAGCGAGAAATCCACGCAAGTGTCTAATTATGATCTTCAATCGTCACCAGAGACACAAAATACTCAGCAAAATACGTTTACTAATGATTTTCTCGTAATAGAAACTCCTGGAGCTCCAATGGATGCTAATCAAATTAATGAAAATGCCTTTGTTGCTTCGGGTGGTGGCGATGGTGAATTATTGGGGATGAACTAACTGCTACTGTTACTAATACTATGAATGCTTCAAACGTGGGGGAAATGGATAGTGTTGATCTTGGTGCAGAGACAATACTAGCCAGTGATATTAATACTAATGTTGCTACTTCTATAGATAATGTAGTAATCGAGCCGATTCCCGAACCACCATCTGCGCCTGATCTGGCGGCTGAAGCTGCAAGTCAGCTAAATGCGCTCGGAGAGTCTACGTTCGCGTCCTTGGGTCTCGGCGGATGGACGCCGGTTGGCATTGTGCAAAATTGTTTCGAATTTCTACACGTTAGTCTTGGAATACCATGGTGGGAAGCCATAGCCATAGGTAACGTTAAAAAACTTAATTTTAGCAATACGTACATTGTGTGTTGGTTACAGGAACACTGGTGATTCGTTTTGCATTATTTCCATTGGTAATAATGGCGCAGAGGAATGCAGCCAAGATGAACAATCACCTGCCTCAGATGCAAGTTATTCAGTTAAAAATGACTGAGGCTAGACAATCGGGCAATCAAATGGAAGTTGCTCGCTACTCACAGGAACTGATGATGTTCATGAAGGAAAAAAATGTGAATCCCTTTAAGAACATGATCGTACCTTTAGCACAGGTGAAATAAAATTTTTAGCATTTTTTAGACAACAGGGTAAAGTAATATGTTTTTAGATGCCTGTGTTTGTGAGTTTCTTCATGGGACTCAGACAAATGGCAAATGTTCCTGTGGACAGTTTACGCACTGGCGGAATATTCTGGTTTTCCGATTTGACGGTACCAGATCAGTTTTTCGCATTGCCTGTGATTACGAGTTTGACTTTGTGGGCAACTATTGAGGTACCATTTTAAATAATAATACACAAACAAAAGAATACAAATGAAATGCTGTGGGTTTCAGTTGGGAACTGATGCTGCACGTTTAAATTCGCAAAATCTTCAAACAATGAAATACGTTCTGCGGGCGCTACCGTTTGTCATTCTGCCGTTCACCGTTAATTTCCCCGGAGCTATTCTTTGCTATTGGCTGTCAAGTAACGTTATCTCACTTGGTCAAGTAGGATTTCTCAAGATTCCCGCCGTGCGCGATTATTTCAAGATTGATCCCATGCTGCAGCATGATAAAGCCAAGTTGCCAATACAAAATAAAGGATTCGTTGGTGGTTTGAAAGACTGTAAGTGATTACTATTCATTTAAGCAATACAATTAACTAATAAAAAATTGGTTGCAGCATGGACAAATATCAAGATCACCAAAGAAATCGAAGAACGCCGGCGATTAGACGAGTTGCAGTTTCAGCGCGCTGGTAAAGGACCACTTGTTAAAACATACAAATATGATCCAACAAAACAAGTGAAAAAAACAAGTACTGCACAGAGTGCAATAAAGAGTAGTAACTGAACATTGCTGTAAACTTAAGATTGAATTAATTTCAATACATTTAATAAACAAATGTACAAATACACATTCATTCATTTGGTTGCTATGCATTGGTTTACTACCTTTATCAAGTTATCATTTTCCAGGGCAGCTGCTACTCTTTCCTTGTCAGCAAGTTGTTTATTTACTGAGTGTTCAGCATTATGTGTGCCAGGATTAATCTCAACATTAACTTTGAATGTTGATGGCAAACATCTGAGTAGTTTTACTCTGATGGACAAACCAATTAAAGTTGCCATGCTACAATGTGGGATAGTCGGGTAAAAAGTACTTTGACTAACTTGTTCTGATTGTCCACAGTAATTAGGCTCTCCTCCAACACGTGCAATTCTTCAAGGGACAGCGGGTGTTCTGGATCGTTTATGTTTTTAATTAAATCTGAAAATAGTTAATGTTTTTATGTTGCATTTGCTGCAAATTATTTATAGGTTATCTCACCAAAGATTTCGCGAGAATCAATCTCATCCACGACATCGTCATCCTCTTCCTCTGCAAGAACAATACGCTCCGATGCTTTATGATATACGTTGGGGTTTACGTTTTCCAAATCCATGGTTTTCCTTTTTGTTTAATAACAAATAAATCAACTTACACCACTGCTGTCTAAATAACACTGACCAGAACTGGCTGATTTGTTCACTGATTGACAACTTGAAGGACATCAAGGTGCAAACACATGAAGGTGGCTGCAATAACACTTATTATCAATATAAACACCTTTTCATTTATTTGCCAACATTATATATATAAACGAATCTATGATTTTGATTGTCTAAGTAACAGATCTATAATTTCGGGATTCCTCAATAATGCTTTCTTCTTCTCATTTAAGACTTCATGGAGAGAAATATGTTTAAATCTGTCTTCAAGAGCAACAATTATTTCAGTCGCATCTTGTTGATAACTGTTTAAATCTGCTTCTGATGATCCATTTATATCCTGATCGAAATGCTCTTGCTTTATTTGCACTGTTTGATAACTATCACATGAGTCCATTGAGGAATGTTCAGATAACTTTTTATGAATTAAAGTGTTCAGTTTTTCTTTAACATTTTCATTGTCCATTCTGGCACAATATAGAGATATGGTCAATCACTGGGTACAATGTAAATATAAATTGACATGTCCCGATTTGCAGACTCGAGTTACAGGTGCACGTATTGTACTTGGCGCGAAATTCGAAATAGTCCGAAACTATTATACGAATTCATCAACCCGCGGCAGCAGAAATCCAAATACCAGCGAAGCTAATGAGAAAGCAAGAAAAGCATCCAGAGTTCTACAAGTTCTCTGCCTGTTGCAATTTAAAAATTAGTTAAAATTAATTTATTAACATATCCGTGTGTTTACAATTCAATTAACAAAAAATGTAATATATTATTTATTCCTTATGTTACCGTTTATCGCCTAGGGTTCATCAATCAAGTATCAATCCATTCAATCCGGCGTGTCATTTGAATTAAAACATCACATAGAAAATCACAATTTCATAATTTCTTCTCTGGAAATTTATGTACCTAATCATACTCTTTATATTATTTTAACATGTAAAAATGTGTTTTGAATAAATTCAATTAAGTAACAATTAGCTTTATTGAAAAAATGCTTTACTTAATTTATAACCTTAGATGTAGACGTTTAATCCTTCCAATATTTAATATTTCTCACTCGCAAATCATCAGTGAAGACGGACGTGTTTCAATTCGTTTAAAAGTAATACTGAATGTCTCCAATGCATCCCATAATCTTTGGAACTTAGCCCTAGTAACGATTTAGTGTGTATAAATTAATTAGCTACAGTAGCGCGATTGTAAACAAACAATAATGGATTTATCTCGGAATCTTGTCTAAGAAATCGGCTTCCACGACCTTATCTAACTTCTCAAGAACGACTTGCATTTTCTTATCGACAGGTTTGTCGCTTAGGAGATCGTTGGGCACGGACCCGTTGCATTCGGACCTGTGGCGATTCGAGCAAAGACTGAGCGTTTTGAAAAACGGATGCAAATCTTGCAATTGATTGATCGAAGTCACTGTTAGCAATAGTTCGTTTTGCTTGGTAGGCAGGGGTTCAATTTCGGTAGAGGCGTATTTTTGGTCCATAAGGTTTGCGATACGACAAACATGTGGCGTGAATGAAGTTGATTCTGTCATGTCTGTGTTCACATCATCTTCGACAAATGCCCATCGGTACCTAATTTATTTAGAATGCATATTATATTCGGCGTTGTTTTCAACCAGCACGTAAAACTTACATCTGAAACTGTGGTAGTGAAGTTGCCGGTAACAACAGGGCCAAGTCTAGAAGCTTGGCAGCGGCCAACTGTAATCGCAACCAATGCGGATTGCCTAAAGCGTGAAGTCCATTGTTGCTATTTTGGGTCCAACTTGGATCCAAAGTAGATAAAAATTTGATGTGTGCACTAAAACAGTAGCAACTCATTTACCATTTCTTCATTACATAGTAGTTCGCACTAAATGTTCGTTTATAACAATTTATCCCATTCTAAACTGTTATAAAACTTTTAAAGCAACAACTAACACTTATACTTAACGAGCAACAAAAAGCAATATTAGTAAAATACAAGTTAGAATTACCTGCTATTGTTCCTGCGCAGGCCGTTCCCCGTAAAGCAACAACAAAAATATGTTAATTAGACCAACGTTCAGCAATCAACAAATTAGTTACCTACTTATGCATAATAATGATAAACGAGACACTTAACGTACCTAAACTCCTCGCTGTCCGTCTGTAATTTTGTTCTATTTGTATGTACACTTGCAGCATTTCACTGATGATGATAGGCCATAATGACGTCACGTGCAAGGGTGACATTCGAATTAGTAGCACTCTAAAGCACATGAACACTTGTGCTTGAATACTGGGCACACACAATCGCAGGCTGGCAGTTAATTGTTCTACAAAAATACCAAACAAAATTTACACTTCTATTACCTATGAATCGCTAATATCTACTCATTATACCTTGTATTTCTGACATATATTTGGCATACTGATCGGTCTCACTGCAGAATATAACAAATGCGAGTCGTTTTAATAGATGCGCACGCTGTTCGTATTCTTGTTCCCGCGATGCGAAAATGTTTAAACTTCCGCTCTGTGTCAAAGAGACTCGGACTGAAAACAATACAATTTTATTAGTATTGGGTCGAAAAGATGCCGACTAATTTTAAACATACTCATCAAATCACGAAAGGTTGTATTGTCATGGGTCATCAAATTGTCAACGATAACTTTCCAGTATTTCAAACAAGCCTGGTCCATTTGGAATAAAGTGTTATCCAATAGCAAATCAAACACGTCCTTTTTCCAAGCCTTCCGCGTGTATTGATAGCTGCTTAGGCTCGCCATTAATTTTGAGCAAGCATTGAAACTGGGCATGTTGCGTAATGTGTGCGTCCGCAAATACGGCACGATGTTACCCATCAGTGACGACAGGATGCTATTGACTTTATCCTTCTCCACCGAACCGAAGCATATATCCAAGATCTGTGCCAATATTTCAGATAACACAAGCTGCGCTTGAACGCTATAATTAGCAGCAACATTAATGACATCTAAATGGCTCCCGGGTGTCACACTTCCGCTAGACGCTGAATCAACTTCCTGCTCTTTAACGGCTAGGTTTCGCCGCAGCCATGTTGTCTGTTCCAAACAAGCACCGCATACTTGCGATACGCATTCGATTAGTTTTGATGTCACATCTTGTAAATCCTTTTGATCTTTGCGTTCTTCCAGTGGACAGCACTTGATCATCAGTTCGTGCAGCAACGCCGCCAGTAGGAATTGACATTGAGGCGATAACGAACAGCCTTCTCTTATTAACGCAAGAAGCGAGCTCCATGCTTCGGATATTTGTGTGGGTGTGGTATTTCTCATATAACTAAATAATTTACATGATTAGCAATGAGATAGTTAGGTATATTGTATTCCAAACTTACCAATAAAACAACTCAAGAATGGAGACATCAAGAAATATTTCCGAACTAAGACCCTCCGTGGGCGGCGGATTTTTTATCACAGCAGTTACAGTTTGCACCAAGTTATCTAACGGAATTACCCTGATAGCTGATATTAAATAGACTAAATTGTTTTGACTCGTATTTGGTTCCGGGAGCGCCTAAACATACAAAAAAATATTATTAATTTCAAAATTTTGCAGATTTTTAATATCGAAACTTACAGTTTTCATACTCATGAAAGGATTTTTCCTCTCATGCCATGCTACGGCTATCGCCGCCAAGAAACTAGAGCTGTGATGCACAGCAATCGGACTCAGGAATTCCAGAAGCTGCTGTTTCACAATTTTCGAATGCCCAAATACGCCCTCAAAGTCGCCATCGATGCTGACAATGGTTTGCCATAGCTTAGCAACACTTGAAATAATTCTGGGCATGTGGCTGAGGATAGCCTTCCTGGCAAGTTGGTAGTTGTCTTTATTGTGTTTATTCGTCAAGTTGACTTCCCCACCGATTGGACTAAAGAACGCATTCACCAAATTATTAAAAATGTCGCTAGTGTTTGTCACAATCGTGGAAGCCGTATTCCCCAACGTCGGTAAATTCTGATTCGCCGTCTGCGTCGAGTCCAATAGATTATAATGAACCAATATCGTAAGGGATTCTAATTGTGTCGTCGCGTAATCTGCGCATAATTCACCGCCGAGTTCAGTCGCCATGTAAGCGTCCGCAATCTTCTCGATGTTATTACAAATCTGATGTATCACTGTGAGTGAAATTTGCTTCAAGTTGTCGTTAAAGTAAGGCAGACATGATGTTACCATATGACACCAATTTTGATGCAGATGTTTCATATTCTGATGCTTTAGTGCACTCAAAATCGCCGACAAGAACATGCTTTGCTGCGGAATTAAGATGGTCGCCGTTTCGCCATTAGGGGTATCCACTGTTTCCGGAAATACCTTAAATTCTAGTATGATCAACGAATTGATAAGCCTTAAAAGTAAGATTTGATATGCTTCCACATATTCGGTAACTCGCTTCTGATTGTCGTAGAGTTTAAAATTATTAAAAAGTAAAATTTCTTCGGCAAACGAGGCGTCCTCGTCAAAATTCCGCACCGACATTAGTAAGCAATGCAAAAGCACTTTCTGCAGGATACATTTCTTCAGCGTGTCCGCAATATAACCAGAGAATCCTTTGGAATTGTCGTTGACAATATTAATCAAATGCTTTATGATAATGTCTAGTATTTCCAAGCAGTCGAGTTGAATTTGCAAATTGTTATCCTGCTCCGTCCTTGTAAGTTTGACATCATCCAGACAAGGGTAGAAACTCTTGATATAATTTAATGTAATAGTTATTAGAACGTCCAGAAAAGTGAATCCACGATAGACATTAATGTGATCTGGGCTCAGTTCTCCGCCGAAACCGCCTCCTTGAATGCTTTTCTATGACGCGCTAACAAATATAAAATGTTATTGCTTTGCAGGTCCTTTAATCCGGACGTGGCTAAGCAACGAATAAATAGAAGCGGGTTAGAGTTGATGCAGTTCTTTAGTGTGCGAAGCGTATAAATAATTTGATTGGAGTCAAAAACTTCGTAATAGAGGCACAAGTGTTGATGAATTGGGTAAAGAGTAAAGTTTTTCGTTTTCGCTCCGTTTGTTTCGTTAGGGCAGACCTGTTCTAATATGTCATTAAGTAACAGTGCAATATCTTCGCTAGCTTCCTTGGAAGGCATCTTAAAATAATCTTCGGCCGCATCTGCGGTTCGAACAACATCGAGTGACGAATTTACATCGCTCTCGGATACAGATTCGGACCAACTGTGCTGCAAATGATCTTCGACATCCGCATGCGTTTTCTCGTCCAAACTCTTCGAACGTTTCATACGACTGACACGTTCTGGCTTCTCAACACCTTCTTCGATAAAAACATCGGACTTTGTATCAATACTGTGCTTGTCATTATCGGATCTTCTCTTTCCGCTACCGAATGGAAACTCATAGATACGAATCCCGAATCGGCGTTTGTATTATTATCCGACAGACTTTCAGTGGACGAATGCGAGTCCAACTTGGTGTAACAGCCATCAACTCCGTTGGGATATATTTCCTTGCTGCTCAGAGGATTAATAAATAATTTAACGTTGTTTTTAGCACGATCAATATTTGGTGAAACGTCGGGTTTAAAGTCTTTATTGCGCTTCGTGACTACGTTTAAGTTGTCCGTTAGACTAGTGGTCATGTTGACAACCTGATTTCCCTTTTTGCCAGGGCGCGGAAACAGGAACCAACGCTTCTTCGAAGGTTTCGGGCTTGGCCCGTCAGTTACATGAAACATCACATTACCATTCACACTACTAATTGCGTAGATTTTCTTCGCGTTCACATCTTCCGCCTTAGCTCCCTCAGCTTGGTTGTGAGCTTGCAGCTCGGGGTCTTCAATATTTACAAAACGAATTGATATTCGTGCCGTTGTCGCCGACAACAATTTCGACAGAAGAGGATTTATAATCCTCGCAATGTCATGCCGCAGCAAACTGTGCGTTACAAACGTTTCCGAAAGAAGTCGTATATTCGGTCGCTCTTGGTTATTTAAATTGTCCATTATTTTCAATAAACAATGATCAAAATTTCGCATTGCCGAATTGCTCAAGGATGGATTTCGTAGTTTTAGCTCGCGTCCGCCATGCCACAATAAGAAAAACCGCTTGAAATAATCCGTGCATAAAACCCCATCGACTAAATATTTACCGATGACGTGCTCGACGAACATTTTCGTGTCGAAAACATTGTGAATGCTGTAAAGTAGATTTGCGCATATTATTAGCTGATTTTGATTACTCAGATAGCCCAAAAGATCCCACAATATCTCGCAAATACACTCCAGAACAATTGTGTTTTCCTCGATAAATATCACATGCTGAATATCCAATATTCCCATTAATACTACATTGTTATTGTTGGCATGCTTCTCGAGACTTTGTGTTTTCGAAATGCTGATGATCTTCAACAATGTGTTCATGCACGTAATCTTGACGTTATTATTCGCCTTGGGAGAGCACGAACAGCCCACGAGAACTTTTAACCAATGCGGAAATTCAAACTCCTGATCATCCTGTAAAATATTCGGAAATGCCGCAAATTCAATCAACAAATTTGAAGCAACCTGAATTGATTCATCGTAGATGTTTGATGCCTCAGTGTAGGTTTGATTACGCGTTTCGCTCAAATTGGATGGACATTTCTTGGGACGTTCATATAATTTATCTTCTAGCATTTCCATCAGCTCATTGTTGCGCAAAGTGTTCTCTTTAAGTAAACTTTCAAAAAACACTTCGGCTTTCAGCTCCTGCATGATAAAATCAGCTAACAATGTTTCGTAAAAACGTTTGTACACTTTCAAGCACATGATGATGTGTTTGTTTTCGACCTTTATAGGCTCTTCTTGTACCTTTTCAGGCTTCTCAACTCGTTCCTCCTTCTTTTCCGATGGAGAAAGAGATACAGCATCTGCCTCAACATCTTCTTTCTTCAAATCGTACAGTTTTGAACTGGATTTGGACTTTTTACTTTTACTTTTCTTATCAATTTTCGGAGAATCTTTGTTTTTGTTTTTCTTCATCTGATTACTGTTTGAGCGCTCGCGACTTGCGTCTTCTATACTCAGTTCATGTTTTGAAGCTTTTTCGTTTATTTTTGAATCAGACTTGCTTTTCTCCAAGCCATTCTTTAAACTTTCTACCTCAAAAGAATCCTCTTTTTCGTCCACCTTTTCCACTTGTGTTTCAATTTTAGATACCTTAGGCATAAACGTTGGACACGGCTGAATTTTCGTTAATATTTTCGAGCACAGTTTCAAACTGGCAAGTATCTCCTCCTGTGATATTGACTTATTCTGTTCGCGTATAACGTTAATTATCTTGGAAAACAAATTCGGTAATATTTCCACCGTATTTTCCGCGTAGGTTTCAATAGGTATGATATCTAACAAAAAGTCAGTCAGAACGCAGATCTCGAGCAAATTCGGCTCGCCAGACCCAATATCATTTACAGCATACTGATGCCTACTGCTTCGTTTCATCGTCACCGATTTTTCAAATAAACGTTCAATGTAAGACCAAATGTAATAAGTTTGAAGCGTGTTGAACAACAAATTAGCATTTCGCGTTAACTCTTGGCAATGTTGAGTTAAAAACGACTTTTTCAAAGCGTCTTCATCTCCTTTTAAGCTCGTCAAATTACCATTAAAACTAACGCAACGTGTGGTATTGGACTTGTGTTTTTGCAAATTCAAACACGACGTGTACAATGCTCGAAACACGTCATACAAGATATTGTCGAGAATCATCGGACCAATTTGTGGCTTATCAAACAACGACGTTAATAACCGATAAGGTTTAACGTCTAATGGAATTTCAGTGCTTCCCTGCTTTAAAATAACGCGTATTGCTTCCATCAATAAATCAATAGCGATGGTCGGTGTAGTCGGTTCCTCAGCATCCGACTCATCGTCCTCCACTTGAAAATCCGCATTGCGCTCCGAACGCGTTTCGCTGGTCAACAGCCAAGAGTACAGTCTTCTGTTTAACGACATGTCACGGCGTAAGATTGTAGTCAAAGCGGCCGTCACTAGTCGGACCATATCGGCATACAACAATTGCGTGTTCCACGTCGGGAAGCACACCATTAACAAGTCCAGCGCTGACCTTTGCACCAACACGCTGGAATCTTGCACAGCTGCACACAGCCCAGATATCTACAGACGGGAATATCGACCAATTCATTAAACAATTTATATTATCATAAAAGTAAACATATAGCGCATGTAGACATAACGAGCAAGTCATTCCGTCTGGCATTTAAAGGCCTCAATAAACGAAGCGTATTAATGAGTTAACACACTTAGTTCCAACACTTTCTTTGGTATTTGAAACGTGCCCGACCCACAAAATAACTAAAATAAAAATAGATAAGATAAGCATTACCATGACATCGATATCGCGCCCCATCAAGTACAGTTGATCCTCCATGGACAGTTTTCTATTGTAATGTGCGAGAATGTAACTGATTGCAGGAAGACGAACAGGGCTATTACTTCGAATGCCCTGCCAAATGCAGGTGTAGAACCACTCGGGGCCCACTCCTTCGCATACATTTTCAAGGATTGAATTCGTCCGGTCAAAATGATCCGAACCAATCTCCAATCCCGGTAACACTCCGCTTAGAAATCCGCTTAATGCAGGACGTAGACGTTCGCGCAACGGGACGAAATGTGTTTCATAGAGAAGCAGCAATGTTGGACGAATGAACATCGCCGAATGTCCCAGTAATGGAAACAAACCTAGGAGAAAATCATTTGGTTAAAATCAATAAGTTTACAGGAAAATTGATTATACTCAAGGCAAATGTTTTATTATGTGATTATGTTACTTATACCCACATGAATATAAGCATAAAAATATCATTAATGTTTTTATGCCAGTAGGATGATATTGTTAATTTTGCATAGTAGTAATCTTTATGCCTGTATATGTAACAGTAAAGTTCAAACATACCTGCACCATAAATGAATAATTCCTCTGCTAGCCTGTTGGTACCCATACTTTTGAACATGATATCATATGTTTCTAAAGCTTTTAAATGCACTCCAGATGGTAAAGCTGGGTGCATGCATTGTGCTAAACGTTTACAAATTTTTATTCTTCTTGGTGTTATTGGAAACTTTTGATAAGCTGTCAAAACCTAAAAGTAAAATCACCACATTAAGATTTGCACTACTTAACATTATTTACATTTAAAATTAAAAGTAATTCTAATGTTTCATAAGATTATCTAACTTATTTAACAAACTAATTATTATATTTACTTTGTTTAATTTGCCTAATGCTGATATTAAATCAGCCCATTCTGCAGTGTACTCAAAATTCTTCAATGCCTTCTCAACAGCTGTAGCGTAGATCCGATATTTGGAATCCGTGAGGAGCTCATATTCTTCTAATTTTATCATAGAACTCATTGTTGCTATGAAAACAGAAACAATCCGAAATTAGTGAAAACTTTCAGTTTAGCATGACTAGATTTGTGTGTTGCAGGCAAGTGTTTCGCAACCGGATTCGGTAATCGTAAACGTAAGCGTAAAATTATTACTCACGAGCGAAATGTTATAAACAGCATAAACAAAATTCAGAGGTAATTCGCCTCTTGTGTCTAACTCTCACAAAATCAGCACAATGTTTTTTAACGAGTGCAGTATCGTCGACAGATTACCATCGTATCAAACCCGATTCACTCCCGGTCGTTAATTGGCACACTCACATCGCGCTTATTTGTTCAATCATTATTATTACGGCACTAATAGGAAGAAGGTGTCCGTCCTGTGTGCTCGTCCATATCTTGACGTTTGCAACAAATGAAACAACGCAATGCAACCAACGCACTAAACATACGAAACGCACTGAGCTCCTGACAGCCCAACAGCTGACATCATACACTAACAAAATGAGTACCAACTGCGAAATTACAAGTTCACCAGTCGAAATCGCGGAAGTGGCATATCATAAATTACTTTAATTGTTATCTATATGCCAAAGCATGGAAGTTAAATTTTTTACATGTGTAGATAAACTCTTTTCTCCTACAAAACTGATTAACAATTTTCTTCGTAAAATTTGTAATTCGTAAAAGCCTGAATTAGCGTGGCAATATGGATATGTGCTAATTACGCATATAAACTTTTCAAAATATGTATAATTAATTAAGACTACCATAAATGAATTCGTTTGCTCACATTGTGGCGTAGTTTCTTTTTTTTATATAATGTCAAGCGTCACAATGCAAAACTTATCAACTCCGAAAATAAAACAATGGGAATTGCTTTTGTTTGAATTGCGTCTGCCCAAAATAGTTTCGTGATTGTGAGTAATGACCGAAACAAGGGGTGACGAATGTAACAATATGTACTATTCAAAAATGTTCCACTAAGAGCCTTGTACTACACTCTAAATTTTCCGTCCCGAAGTATTATTATTCATCCGAATTCACAAATATTGATTGTAATAATAAAATAAACTTTATTCGACAGTTACAAAATTTTCAAACGTCGACAGTTTTTGTGGCCACACTTTGAATTTACCTTTTTGTAATTCCCTCCATGATTTCGAATATTCCGTGGAATGTTTTAAGGCACTATAGGATAGTTTAGAATCAATATTTAAATTCAATTTGCTTGCAACTTTAAAAAAACATTTCAACAGTTCCAACTTGCAAATTTGCAGTCTACCACTCGACGTAAACCGATTTTTCTTTGTGACACCTTGTTTAAAACCATCCACTGCCACTTCCGGTTTACTATAAAACAAAACCGCATCATTTCAAACATAAAGTATAAACAATCTATTAAAAGATATTCGAAACATACCTATTCTTGATGTATATTATACTGGCGGGAGCCGGTTGTTTAGTTTCACATTTTTGTGCGTCAAAGTTCCGCAGTGTAGATAGAAATAAATCTGGAATATGCAGTGTATACTTTTTCTCAGTTTCACATTTGCCTTGATTATCATCAAATCGTTTGTATAATGCTCTTTCAAATGATTCTTTAGAGAAATTTTCGTGGCCGATTGTAATACTCGACAAATAAATGGGTTCCTTCAAAAGTAAACTCAAGAAACTGCCTTGAACTCCCATGTGGATCCACTTGGCTAGTTTATCACTGCAGGAGGCTGATAGAGTTGGATCTCCGCGTCCTGGTTTGGTTCTCACTGCACCTAGTACGTGATATGCACTTCCAGATTGTCTTTCATCCACTTTGTCATCATGTGGTAGACATTTTGCACCTGTTCGGTGAATATCTAATTTTATTCTCTTGGCTGCATTTTCGCCATTATCTGTGTTTTTGACAGTGGAAAGATTGTTAGGTGTTGACTCTACGACCATTCCATAATCAGATATATCTTGTTTATAGTCGTTTTTAGGAAAAATCGAAGCATCGCCACATGGCATTAAACTTGAATACATATGGAATTTTAAACCCTTTGCAAGTTGGAACAATTTACCGTTTTCTCTCTCTAAAATATCACTCTGTTCTTTTAACATTTCGTGATATAAAAATCTAATAAATGCACGACGACACACAACTTCCGCGTGTGAATCGTTAAGTATAACTCCATCCGGCGACATTTGTGATTTACCAATACATTTTGTTCCTGTGCCCATTGCAACTACTTCCAACTTATTATTGCTTTCTACTAAAATTGCGGCTATGACAGTCCATTCACTTATGGTTGGCTTACCGGTTTTCTTTAAACTGTTGTATAAATCTAATGAAACTTTTGCAACATTATCAGCAAACATTTTTATAAATGATATAAAACATGAACTAACTTGAATTTACAAAATATATAATATGCATTGTTAACAAGAACTTATGATACAATTGTTGGATCCCAAGCAAACTTCTTTTGAGGCAAATGATTTAAAATTTTCAGATCTTGTTCTGGTATTTTGAAATCCAAGTTAAAATTGGCAATAATGTGCTCTTTTCTCAATGATTTTGGAATTATGCCTACTCCCTGCTGTAGTGCCCAAGCAAGAAGCACCTGAGCTGGTGTTTTATAAAGATTTTTAGTCACTCTTTGCACATTTGGATCATTCAGTAACACATGTGAGTCGGATGTGCCTCCTAAACTACAATATGCCTGAAGAAGAATACCATTATCATGACAGAGATTTAATAACTCTTGTTGGTAATATAATGGATGCCATTCAACCTAAAAATGTGGGTTTTACTGTTGAGAAGTACCCAAATGTTTACGAATTTACCTGATTAACAACTGGCATGACACCATGATTATTTAGTAATAACTCTGTCATATGTTGCACAGTATAATTAGATACACCAATGTTTCTAACCCAGCCCCTATTCTTGGCTTCAATTAATGCTTGCCATGTTTGACTCCTGATAATTGAGTTATCTTCTTGTTGTGGGCTTTTACCCTGCTGTCCTGGCCAATGAATTAAGTATAAATCTACGTACTGCACCTTTAACTTGATCAAACTGCTTTGGACTACATCAAGTATCTTTTCAAAATTGCCATAAAGATTTGGAGCTGTAATTTGTCATAATATAATACAATTTCTTTGATTATTTGGAGATACTAACGTAATTTGCTCGTTATAAAGATATCTTCTCGGTTCAAATTATATTTTGGTAATAAAGTTGTTAATGCTTCGCCAATATCCTCCTCATTGCCATATACAACAGCTGTATCAATGAGCCGATATCCAGCTTCCAGCGCATAATCCAAGACTTCGTATATTAATGCGCGCCCACGCACCCTGAAAGTACCATCTAAAATGAGCGTGGATATCAGTAAAGATAATAGTTAAGCAGTATATAATTCGTACAGCCAATTAATGGCATATAATCTCCACTAATGAGGCGAAAAACTTTTTGAGAAGACATAACCATACCGCTACTCACACTCGTTGATTGAAACTGAACCATAAACTAAATGCGCGGGTTATTTGCGACAAGTTCCGGTTGATATAAATTGAGTATTGGCGTTTTATTTGCAATAAATGTTGCTGTTTGTAAACAAATTTATATTACACTTGGTGGTTTATTATTAATCAAAGCTTATGAAACAATTGCTGGGTTTCCTCCAAAACGTTTCTGAGGTAAACTATTTAAAATGCGAAAATCATCATCGGGAATTACAAAATCCAATTTAAAATTTGAAATAATATGATCATTATTCAAGGACTTTGGGATAATTGCTACTCCATGTTGCAGTGCCCAAGCCAGAAGTACTTGAGCTGGAGATTTATGCACATTTTGCGCAACTTTTTGAACTTCTGCGTTATTAAGTAACGCATTTGAATCAGAAGTACCTCCTAAACTAAAGTATGCTTGCAGGAGAATAGAGTTTTCTTTGCAAAAGCTTAGTAATTCTTGCTGATAACACATTGGATGCCATTCAACCTAAACAATAGAAATTAGATATAATTATGGTAAATTTAATATTACATATATCGTATTCGTAGACCTGATTAACAACTGGCAATTCATGAGGATATCTATCAATTATTTCTCTTATGTGATGATCAGCATAATTAGATACACCAATATTTTTAACCCAGCCCATGCGTTTAGCTTCAATCAATGCTTTCCATGTTTGAGCTCTAACATGAGAGTTACTATCATCACGTGGATTTTGTCCATGTTGACCAGGCCAATGAATTAAGTACAAGTCTATGAATGTTACATCTAACTTGACCAAACTACTTTTAATCACTTTTAATATGTTGTCCAAAACACCATAAAGATTAGAAGCTGCAAGTATTACAGTCTAATAATAAATTACTGTTTTTTTTACGAAATACGTACGCAATTTGCTTGTAATAAATATATCTTCTCTTTTCAAGTTATGTTTCGGTAGTAGGCTTCGTAGCGCTTCTCCAATCTCCTGTTCATTTTCATAAACCACCGCAGTGTCAATAAGACGGTATCCTGCACCAAGCGCGCAATCTAATACTTGATTAATTAATTCGCGCCCACGCACCTTATAAGTACCATCTAAAATATCATCATTAGGCAATTGATTGTGTAATTTCGTGGTCAGACATACAGCCGACTAATGGCATACGTTCTCCACCCATCAAAGTATAAACTTTTTCAGAAGACATTGTTTTGCGCACGTTCCAAAAAATTACAACAAAAATTTTAAATTATTGACAGATTACATTTCAAGTAAATATTTTGTGACATGAGTCAAAATAAACAAAAAGTGTTATTACATCTGATAACGAAAAAATATCTCTTTCAGTCATACTAAGAAATAAGATTTGATATTCACTAAGTGTACGCGCGAATGTATGAAAAATGATTTATTTGACTGCAGAGCTTTCCACACAAAGTTTGAGATAAAAATTCACTTGCATTTGCAAGAAATTAATGATAATTTCGAGTCCAAACAACAAGTAGATTTATTTCAACATGAATGTAAATAATAGTTGTAAATTAAAATACTTCCAAAATGGCTTTTATTATTACTAGTTTTTAAATTAGTAATAATTAAAAAATCGCTAACAAAACAGATAGCACAGTAATACACTCAGTGTCTGTTTCTCTGGTGTAAATTCTCTATCAAAACATTGTTTGATTTATAATAAAAGACGTGTCAACACATCATTAGTTCAAACAAAATTGTCATAGTTATAAACCAATATACACTAATGAATATGTGGATATACATATATTCATGTTGGTATATCAGAACAAGATAAATATAAAGAACAGATGTAGAAAGAAATAGTTGTTGAGTATATCCCAATAATTGGCTACAGATAATATAGAATTGAGAAAAAATCTACAAAAACAAAAGCTGGTCTTGTTTTCAGTGTTTTTGCTTGTTTGGATGTGGTTGTTGCAGATGCAGAGAGGGCATTTCCTTCTAACAATATATTTATGGGACTCATCTGACATCATATCTAGAACAAATTAGGAAATTAATAAGAATGCATCTGCATATTGGTGGCAACAACTTACACCATCAACAGGATCTGCTTCATCTGCTGAACTAATGTCATCTCCAAATTCAATGTCTTCATCCAAACCATCCTCAACAAATGTAACTGTTTCATTGATGCGTACTGTTTCTGGGAATTCACCATAAGTCTTCAAATTACGTGCTTCATCTGGTGTGTATTTCAAAATGACATCTGCCTTTGCATCTTGGTAATCGCGCAAACCAATTAAAATAATATCACCTTGATTTATCCAGACTTTTTTGCGTAGTTTGCCACGAATGTGACACAGTCGTTTCACACCATCAAAGCACATTGCTTCCAAACGGCCGTTACCCAACATTTTTGTTACCTGTGCATATTCTTGACCGTCTTCCTTGAATACGAGTTCGCGCTTCTCGGTTTCGTTTTCGTTCTTTCCCCTGCGACGATTTTTACCTCCCTTTCCTGCACAACACAATGATTAGTGAAAACATGATCGCGATTTATGCCAAAAAATGTGCCCGATCTTGCTGCTTGCTCATGTCATGCAGAAAACAAGGTTATCAAGCGCGGTTCATACACTTAGCACAATGTGTTTACCTTTATTCTTCGGCATCTCGGTGGAATTGATAAACTCGTAAAATCGTCAGGGCAATGATTGTATTATATTTACGATAAATTTCGGAAAATCTATTTTAATACTGGAAAATCTACGCGGAACGCAGTGAGACGGCCAGATCCGTCAGTTCCGAGCGAAGAAAGAATAAGAGGGGGTGTATGCGCACGCGCTCTAACAAATTGCATGTTGCAATTGTCAAAAATGAAAATAAAATTGCCAAATATGACAATAAATCTGAAAACAATACATATTACTATTTATTCAATCAATTCATTTTCATTACATATGCATGAACCAATAATTATTGCCCAAGAGGAGTGTATAAGAAATTATCAGAATGGCAACGTAGCGTTGAGCGACCTCTGCTTCCGTAGACGACGTAGGCTCACGTTGCCGCTTGCTGCTTCTCGTCTTATTCGTGTCAAAAATGGCTTCCTATTCGGATGGTCTGGAACACGAATCCCATGTGAAACGCATTAAATTAGATTTGAGTGGGTCCAGCAATGGAGTGCCGCGTGACGATGGCGACTTTCCCGGTTTTTCCACAACGAATCACGTCCCGGCCGATCCCGCAGAAGGTAATTTTTGCAAAATATGTTTTCCTTTAGGCGACGCATTCAGATCCAATATGGCGTGCGTGAAACGATAGGAGTTGTCGGCGGACATATTGGTAGGCGTGGCAATCTCCCCGATGCGCCAAAAATGAACAACGCTCTAGAAGTACTGTCAAATCTCGGACATTTTTCATTCATGTGATTCATGTTTACGACGGCGGTTCAAATAAACAATTTCAACAGCAAATGTGCGATACTCGTGTAATCAGTGTTCCAAATATTTGTCAATTTACTTCGGCCAGTTCGACTATCTTCGGCGTTTGACACCAAAAATGTCAAAATAAAATTGATTTTTTTTACTTTTGAAAATTATTACAAAATAAATTTACATTAAATGATAACAAATTGTTTCTTATTTTTCTTGGTAGATATTACTCTGAATAAATGCCTCGTCTAACGTTTTCCTAAAGTGGAAATTTTAAAAAGTGTTGCGCGCTTTAAGTTTTTTTTCTTTAACTTAACCTCAACTAGAATTTTAAATTCGAATTTCGGGGTGCATATTCGTATAGTTTATAATTAGATACTATGAATTTGGAAAAGTTTATATATCTAATATTGAAAAAAACGCATATCATTTAGGATTTCCGTTGGATTGTGATTCAGGTTATGAAGCATCAACCATGGAATCCATAGCTACACCATCACATCAATCAGATTCTTTAATCCAGACACCAACTCACCCTGACATTTCACAAGATAGCATTGATGCTGATGATGATGACAATGTTTCAACTGTTAGTGAATTGAGTGGCCTCTCTGATTTATCAGGGCAGGATTGGAAACCAATGCCTGGAAACATGTCCTGGGTAAGTTTCAATTGTCAAAACTTTCAAATTAGCAAACTAATTAATGACTGAACTATAGATACAAAAGCAAATTCATAATGGGGTTGATCCAAGAACGTTGCTTGTTGATCTGGGAGTTGAACAAGATCAAATTCCTCAGTTTGTGGATGACATGACACTTTGGAAATTGATCATAAATATGTGTGTAGTTATTCCAAAGAGACCCAAATTAAGACATGTTAATACCTTGGATGATATTGTCAGGTTATTAAAAGGTATGTTAACATTTTATTCCTAAATTTAATTTTAGTAATAATTTGAATCTTGTCTTCTAGGTGCAAAGAAAATAATTGTGCTTACTGGTGCTGGCGTTTCTGTATCTTGTGGCATTCCGGATTTTCGGTCTCGAGATGGCATCTATTCCAGACTTGCAATTGATTTCCCAGATCTGCCCGACCCACAGTCTATGTTCGATATCACGTATTTCAATTTAGACCCCCGTCCATTTTTCAAATTCGCTCGGGATATCTACCCAGGAAAGTTCAAGCCCAGCCCGTGTCATCGATTTATCAAACTTCTGGAAAAGCACAAAAAACTCCTCCGTAACTACACGCAGAACATCGACACGTTAGAAAAGGTCGCCGAAATCGAACGCGTCATTGAATGCCATGGTTCGTTCGCGACGGCAACATGCACAAAATGCGGCTACAAAGTAACGGCGGATGCCATCAGGGACATTGTGCTATCGCAGAATATTCCAGTTTGTGGGAAATGCAGACCGGATATTGGAGGCGATATCTATAGCCAATCTAAAGGACCGAGAACCCGGAGAGTTGCGGGACCTTGTTTCGGCTGGCATCATGAAGCCAGATATTGTTTTCTTTGGCGAAGGGCTACCGGACGCATTCCACGATGCCATGTCCGACGACAAGAACGAGTGTGACCTGTTGGTTGTTATCGGCAGCTCGCTCAAAGTTCGGCCAGTCGCATTGATCCCAAGCTCGCTACCTGCTCACGTTCCGCAAATTTTAATC